TCCTAAGAAAATGGGGGAAAAGCACTAAGGAACCCTCAAATTCAAGGGTGAAATGTCTTGGTCAAGCAGCTCATTAGTCCCTTCTGCCGACAGCGCCAGACTCCAAGGCCCCGCTCCTAAAGCCACCCTGCTCTCCCACCCACCCCTACCCACTCTACCTTATCCTAGCTATTGGCAATTTGAAATCATTTTTTGAATACCGTGGAACTTGATGAAGGTAAGAATTAATTTACATATTCTATTTCAAAGCTGTTATTGCTCATGAATGATTAAGCAGTGAAGTTCATTGAACACCAACCTCCAATCCTCCCCATCTTTGGTTAATGTTCTCTGAGCTCTTAGCTGGATCCTGCAAAGGTAAGCAGAGGACAAGTGGCCACCAGAGCATCCATTCCATCTCCTCCTCCACCCTTCATGTTGATTAATGGGTTTTCCAAATAAATTGGGTCTCCCTTTTTCTCTTTCTCTCTTCCTTAGAGAGAACCTAAGTGTGCAACAATAGATAAATGATTAAGTCTATTAGATGACCTGAATACATGTGCAGATATTCCATGCTCTTAGGTGTAACAACTTAACACTAAAAACATGTTGGTTCTATTAGCAATCAGAGAAATACAAGTTAAAATGAGATAAATGTTTATATTTGTTGGACTGGCAAAAAGAGAAAGCTGAGTGATAGTGTAGTTGTGGCTGTGTGGTTTCAGGAACTACATGCCCTGATTACGGGGGTGTAGATTGGTACAGCCATTCTAGGACCATCTGGCAACAATGAATCAAATCAAGTATATTACCCACAAGCTGCTCTGAGGTTGTAGCCCAAGAAAGCATCATATGTCCACAAAGATATTCATTGCAGCATTATTTGTGGAGGGGAAAGTTCACAGCAACGTCAGTGTCCTGCACTAGGAAGTAGGCAGGTAAAATGGGAAAGAAGCTCAAGACAGGGCGCTATGCAGTAATTAGAAGCAGTGGATTAGCTGCAGCTATAGCAATGTAGCTGAATCGTAAACATATAGAACTTAATGGGGGAAAAAAACAAAATAATATATTAACATGGTCATCTACATAACTTAAAAAAGGATGCATAAAAACAATGATACATATATTTTGCAGGAACAAAACCAAAAAGATAAACCATCGACATAATTGTTTATGGGGTGGTGGTGGGGAATGGAAGGGACTATTGAGATAATTAAATGAATCTTAGGATAGGCCAAGGTTGATGTGCCAAGAACAGAAGAGCTGGCCTCCATGATCTGCACCTGAGGCCCTCTAACACACACATGTGCACACATGCAGAAAGAAAGTGGTATGGCCCAAACGTATAATGAAACACCATGCAGCCATTACACATATTACAGAAGCATGTTAAGCCCCTTATAAACATCAAAATATATTTGTGTTAATATTCAAGTGAAACTGGCCCAAGAGTTACATAGACAGTTGCTTTTTTGATAAGCATAGATATGGACCCTTCTGCTGTTCAAGCTTGAAACATGTTTATTTGAGGAGTTCCTTTCTTAGGAAAGGACCTCACACCTCTCACAAAAAGTATCGAAGAACTGAAACCAGATTGCCACACCAGATGCCACACCCCTCATTCACTATGATTGCTTCCTTGCCCCTCCCAAATTCCTGTTTTCTTACATATTGTTACATTTTTTATATCACTATTTCTCATGCTTCCCAATAAGAATCACCTGTCCCTCACATTTTTCCTTACATATTGTTACACTTTATACATTGTTAATATATGCTATATAAACCCCTGGTTTAGTTGGTCAGGAGATGGATTTGAGACTGAGCTCCCAATCTCTTCTGCTGCAGCACCCAATTATAGCCTTCTTCCTTGGTGATACCTGATGTCTCAGGGATTGGCTTTCTGTGCAGTAAGCAGCAGGACCTAGAACAAACTCCAGGTGTTTTGGTGACACAGGCGGAAGAGCAGAAGAGTGGGCTGAAGGGCATGCCCACTGTTATTTCATTATTCAGCAAAACAAAACAAAACAAAATACCAGTAAGTTAAAGAAACAGAGTGGCTGGTAGGATTTCAGTGATTCAAGTACTTTCTTCTTATCTATATATTTGCAACATGTCTTCAATGACTAGTTATAGACAATAAGGAGAAAAATTAAATTTTTTTTAAGGAAAACTTTTGCTTTTAAAAAGATATAAAACAAAGAGATTATAGACTGTGAGAATGTACAGGTACTGAAGACAGTGTTTTTCTAATGCTTTGTGTTTTCTCTTGATTTATTTTTTGAGATAGAGTCTTGCTCTATCTCCCAGGCTTGGGTGCAGTGGTGTAATTTCTGCTTACCGCAACCTCTGCCTCCCGGGTTCAAGGGATTCTCCTGTTTCAGTCTTGCGAGTAGCTGGGATTACAGGCATGTGCCACCACACCCATCTAATTTTGTATTTTTAGTAGAGATGGGGTTTCTCCACGTTGGTCAGGCTGGTCTTGAACTCCCGACCTCAGGTGAGCCACTGGCCTCAGCCTCCCAAAGTGCTGGGATTACAGGCTTGAGCCACTATGCCCAGCCTAGGCTTTGTGTTTGCAAATGCAAATGGTAAAACCCAAGCTTTATGTGTTGCTCTTTCCTCTTTCTGAGGGAATAGAGGGAGCCATGGCTATTCTAAGGATCCCCATTTGAATGGGACAGTAGGACATGTATTACAGGAAATGTCCACAGAATTGCTTTCAGCCCCAACAGGAGTAGGTATGTTTCCAACTCGGGAAAATTACTTCAGTACAGTATTGTTTAACACAGCATACATATTCCAAAGGGACAGAACTTTCAGGCAAATGATTTTTATTTAGACAGGTTAAGGCTGGAGGATATGGTGATGCCAGCCTGACACATGCAGACTTTGTAGCTGCAACATGCTTGCTGCAGGCCTTGCAAACATCTTTTCATTCTTCCTTTCCCAGATGCTGACAGCCATCTCCCAGCAGTGCTTAATGAAATGGCAGATGACTATTTGTTAGAGGCCTTCAACTTTACAAGAGCAATAGACATGTCATCAAGCTGTGTGGGGTGATACGTTGTAGCCATATGCAACAGATCTTTTTCCCACATCTGGACATACTGAACTGGCATGTCACAGAATGTACAGAGAACTTCAGTCTTCAGTCCCATTCCCTTTTTCAAGTGCTTGCCTGCATACAAGTATTGGAATTCACAGCCCCACCATCAGCCAGCGATGTTGTAAGAGATAATGATCTTGTCTTTTGAAATGCTGGGTCTCAGAAATCAGTGAGATGTTGCTGAGTGTTTTCCTGTAAGGAATAGTGCTAATGACTCTAGTTCAGGATCTGAGGTGTCTTAACTCCCAGATAACTTGAACATGGGTTAAGCTGATTGGCTTTCAGCATACAAAACGTAATTGAACCAAGGTTCAGCAAAGTCGTAGTCATTTCCAGATTTTCTAGATATATCAGACATGTAGGGGGTAGAGAAAGAGCAGAATAACACAAAATGATTGCTTTGAGAAATAAAAACATCCTGGCAGGAGGAAAATTAAATTTAGAGAACTGCCCTACCATAGCTTTTCTTAATGCATGGCCTAGAATGAAGGAGAATGAAGGAAGCAAATTTCTGTAGTTACTATAGCGACACTTTTGCATGTTACAATTGCATTGTGAACCGAAAATGCTAGATGAGAAATTATCTACCGATTGATAAAGAAACCCTATTACAGAGAACTATTAGCTTCCTTCTCTTATGGTTTCCCACCAATCACCAAATTCATAATGTAGTACCATACAAGTTTTCTACATGGAAAGAGGACATAAAATAGCTTAGATCATTCACAGGGCGGCCTGAATCTGAATTCAATTACATAGTACCTGGTAATACTTAGAAAGGTCAAGAGCATCAGAGCCAGAAAAATTCAGATTCTAATCCAAGCTCTCTTTCCAGGGTGTATGTTAAGCAAACGATGTAGCTTGGCTGGGCCTGATTTCTCATCCATAAAATGGGAATACCACCACCTGGTTTGAGAATTGTGTTGATAAGAGGGCTGATAAAAAGCATCTAAAAAGCATCTTGCCCAGAGCTAAGTGTGTGTGTGTGTGTGTGTGTGTGTGTGTGTGTGTGTGTGTGTGTTGTGAGCACCACTATGCCCAGCTAAAGGACTTAATCTTGAACAATATTTGTGTAAGTTAAAAAAAAAGGCAAACTTCCACTCAGCAAAAAGTAATCTGCAAAAACCCATCCTTTCCATAATACCAGAGTAATAATCGGTAATATTTTTTGGAGGTGGAATGTATATGAGTATGTTAGAAAAAAGCTTACTAGTCATTATCTTTCATGCTAAATTTTTATTTCAATGTTATGCAACTGCATAAGTATAAATATTTTGTTCAATATACAACAATTATGACATCCATAAGGAATTTCTTAGAGAAAATAAGACTGCAAACACTTTATTGCACAGATCCTAACAAACTTTTAAGCTGGTAAATCTACAGCTGGGAGTACTACCAAGGAGCACATCCTACAATCACACAGAGACTGACCAAATAGAACACAATGAGGAGAATTTCTACCAGCTGATTGGAGAGGTTTACAACAACAAACAGGTAATACATGAATGCAACCCTAAGTACTCTTTACTCATTCATAATGAAAAACATATTTGGCAAAAATGATGATACACTATACAAAATATACATAAAAATATCATTTGTAAACAAATAGCTAGTTGTGCTTTAAAGAAAATTGGACAGTTAAAAAGCAAAGGCTTGTAAACCATGAACTACCTCCCCGATAGACCTGTCCCAATGGCTGAATGTAGAAGGACTGAGTTATGACAACTGCCAAACACAGATATGTATTATAAACGTTGAGACCAGTTTTGAAAGCCATTTAAGCTCTTGTAAAATATATATATATTTTTTTAACAGCTTCACAATGTAGTGATGGGGAATGGCTAAAACCATATGGAAAAAAATTAGGAGCAAGGAGAAGGCTTTTCTTTTTTTTTTTTTTTTTTTCCATTTTGCCAATGCCAACTCATTATATAATGAAGGACAACTGAGCAGTCGGTTAAGTTATGCCTTTGTTTTCAGAGTGGAGTTTACAGCTTTACTAGAAGATTTACAATCCATACGGCCATAAGATGATGCTGTGCTTAGATGAACAATTTTATAGCCTGAAGATACTAAGACATCCCCAAGAGAGTCTGGGTGCCAGATTAGTTATTTATTGGTGATTTTTTTTCTCTTACAAAACAAAAAATTCTGCTATGGTTCCCAAGCATCTTATAAATACTTATCTGTATTTTCTCTTAGTGCCTTAGTACTTATATCAGCAAGTGCCATCTTACAACACAAAACAAACCACCAAAAAAAGAAACTGCAACAACGAAAACAGAAAGAAAAAATCAAAAACCTTCGGCACTAAAATGATTTGACAAATTCTACATATTCCACGGTATACAAAATTTAAATAAGGCTTAGCAAAAGTAAAAAGGATGGTCACATTCAAGCACCAAATAGCTCCAATGAGTCTCTTTGTTACAAAAATGCTGCTCTTTATTAAGACAGTATTTTTGGCTTACAAATAAAGAGATCAGGTTATGAAATGTACGGAGCTACTAGATGCATCAGAAATGAATGTGAAACCCAGGAACTTGCTAAAAACAGCAAGCTTCGTCTACAACATAAGGCCCCAGCTATGTATTAAAATGTATCTGATGTCCTGATTATTCCTTATTAATATATATGCTACGATGCCAAAATCCACTCCCAGTTCTTTTCCTCAAAAAAGCAAATTTAAAACCTCTTCCAATGCCTGGTGCTCATTTCTTGACTTAAGTACTAGAAGATTTGGGTGCAGCCAGTAATTTTCCTTTTTATTCAAGAGCAGGGCTGGTGCAGGACTACTACAAAATGTGTGCTTCTTGGACTAGTCACTCACAGCATAAAGGCCTGAGTTTAAGAGTGTGAAAAGCAGGAAAAGAAAGAAAATCAAAAGAAAGTTGATGTGTGTTTATAGTCCCCACTCTACCTCAGGTGAAGACCAGACATACACATCCACAGGTAAGACCAACTGGCCTTTTAGATAGTTGGACCAGGGATCAAGTGTCCATTGGGATGGCTGTGTAAGGAAATTGGCTAGCTCCACTTGTCCTGGCCATTCCTAACGGAGGAGGATTTCAAATGCAGTAGAGCAGTTCTTGCTTTAGATCTGGAAATCTGGTAGCCAGATACAGTACTATCAGAAACTCTGGTTAAAACACACATAAAAACTCACAATCTACTGTGTTTAGGGCTTTCTTCCATCTTTACTTCAAATGTTTTAGCTTATAAAAATGGAAACTTGAAATATTCTCTTAAACCACAGACCAAAACATGTAGGTGGATGTGTATATACACGAATATGGGTGTATCTCTGTTCACACACACCCAATTTTGACCATTTTGCTTCATTACTACATTATGATAAACGGTAAAGCAAAAATCTTATTTAAAAAAAAGCTGTAGTAAACGACGCAATCAGCAGCCAGGTATAGACTCTACATCCCAAACCAAACACGGTGCTATCTATTTACAGAGAGAATCTTTCTCCTCAACAACCCTCGACTGTAAAGGTAATTTTTTTGTTTTTGTTTTTTGTACAAACACTATCTGGTAACAGTTTTACCGGTTACAACTGGGAAGGCATCTGGAAGAAGGGCCCCTCTTTGTCTTTCTCTCCCCTTTCTTAATGAGGCTCTGAGCTCTGCCTGGCGGACATTCCCACACAGTGCTGGTTTCGAAGGTAGTCAAGACACAGTCGCCTGTTCAGGACGGGTCTCCACAGTCCTGCCCCGGGGCCCGCCCCGTTACAAGGCCTTTTTGTGAGGGCTGCTACGCAAACTCTCTTTCCCCCGCCTCTGCCGTACCACAAAGTCCTTTTCATTAGAAAACGAGATGAGGCGGTCCGTGTTTGGGGCCGGGGACGGCTTGGTCACGTCTCTGCCCACGTTCTGTTTCCTCGTTGTGGGAGGCTGGGCTGGGGCAGGGTCCTTCCCTCTGGTTTCCCCTGCGGTGGCAGTCACCGAGAGAGCCCTGTCCCGGTGGCTGGCTCCGCCCGTGGTGTTTGGGTCGGGGTGGTGTGACTCCAGAGCCAGGGTGGAGACCCGGAAGCAGGGCAGGGAGTCGCTCTTTGTCATGTGGGTTCGGGCCTCCCCTGCAGGCTGAGCCTTCCTATGGTTCCTGCTGCTGGGGGCTGGGGGCTCCGGCGCGCCCCCGGCGGCCGTGTCAGAAGAGGTGTCGCTGCAGGCTGCAGAGGCCTCCCGAGCTCCCGGCCTGGCTTCGGGGAAGCTGGAGGAGCAGCTCAGAGGCTTTTCCGCGGGGGCCGTGGATCGGAAAGAACTCTGCCCGGTGGCTGAGGGGGACCGTTTCATGCTGCTGGGCTTGTCTGCCTCCGCCGGGGGCTTCTGGGGACCGGGCCCTTTCCCTCTGGCCTCCGGGAAACCCTTCCCCACCCCCGCGGCTGGCCGCTCTGCGCCTTTCAGCCGGGCCTCGCCGTGCACAAAGGCAAGGCTGGCCTCGAGCGTGTCGCCGTCTGCTGGAGCATAAAGTGCTTCGGTGCATTTCTTCCCTTCCGCCCTCCTGTCGGTGGGGGCGGCCGGCTGACTCGGGCTTTTGTCCGTCTGTCTGCACAGCGCGGGGCAATCTTTCACAGTGGATGGTTTGGGGTGCTTTGGAGACAGGGTTTGCTTTTCACCGACAGCGGTCAGTTTCTGCTCCGCTGGCTCACTGGGCCCTGGGCGTCCCGGCCTTGGCAAATGCCCGGGCGTCTCCGACACCTCCAGGGGCCGCCCACCACTGGCGGGTTGTGGCTTGCTGTCTAGAGGACCCCCGTCAGTATGCAGACGGACAGAGGGCCCACGTTCTCCCTGCCCGACCTCACCGCTGGCTTTGTTCTGGGAGCCTGGGGTGGCGGGAAACACATCCGGCCCACTCCCACTGTGGCCCTTCCCCTCTCTGCTAGAGCCACAGACAGACTGAGTGGCAGGCTCCTGGCCCTTGGTGGCCCAAACACTTGGTTTCTGAGAGGAGAGGGATCGGTCAGGGTGCTTAGATTTTGGAGGAGCTGGGTCAGGGCCAGGCCGGGGCTTGTGGCTGCTGTTTTCATTGTGTGCAGCAACGGGCTTGGGAGGGTCCTGGGGGCTCGGGCTGGGCTCTGGGGCACTGGGCTTGGCCCCTGGCCCTCTGCCAGAGGCGTGGCTTGGGGAACTGCAAAGCTGCCTGGCAGCAGAGCTGGGCAGGTCTTTGGCGGTCAGAGAGGGTGGAGGGATACTGCTAGGATGCCTTTGCAGAGGCTGCTCCTTCCTTTCAGGTTCCTTGGTACCATCTTTCTGCACAGATGGGAAACTGGAGAGTTTTTCACTCTTCCCACTCTCAATTCCAGGTGGCTGCAGAGATCGCCTGGCAGGAGGGGCTTCAGGCTTGGGTTCCACACCACGCCTCACCTTGCCCAGCTCCCTCTCACAGGGAGTTCCAGCCGAGTGTAGAGAGGAGTCGTCTCTGCACAGGGGCCTTGTCTCATCTGGACCATCTTTGTGGTTCGTTTTCCCAGCCGGCGCCCGTGCTTTCTCCATGGCCTGAGTCTGTGTGTAGAAATCTGGGTGGGTCCTTCCCACAGAGGGGAGATTTTTGGAGTTGTCACTGGTTTTAGCAGTTTCTGGAGAGCACAGCTGCATGCAGGGCTCTCTGCATATGTCAGCCCTAGAGGCAGACCGCTGGGTTCCGGCTGTGGAAGGGCCTCTTTCAGCCGATTCCCTCAGGCCTGGCTTCTCCCTTGAGGGGGAAACTTCTGGTGGGATCGGGCCACGGCGCCTGGCCAGGTCAGCGTGCAGGTTCTGCCCCAGGCCGGTTAGAAGCTTGGGGTCTGTGGTGTGGTCTTGGTGCTTGGGGGAGCTTCCCTCTCTCTGTTGGGGATTGCTTTCCGTGACAGTTGCAGGGCTCCTGGCAGTAGGATGGGGACCTTTCCTGTCCCTCTTTAACTCTGGGTCAGGCAGGGAAACTGCTGGTGAATTCTGGAGACCGCGGCTGGGGGGCAGGAACCGAGGCTCAAGCAGGTAGGATTTATTCATCTTTAAACTGGCAGGAGAAAGCTCTCTTGCACTGGCAGTGTCACTCTTTTTCCCACTGCTGCTGGGGAGAGCTGGTGGCACAGAGGGCCCCACGTCACCACCTGGGCTGGGGCTCTGTACAGACTCTGGGGAAGGCAGTTCTGTCTTGGAGGCCTGAGGTCCGGACAGGAGAGCAATGTCCAGAGTGCCCTCAATAGGCTTCAGGCATGAGACAGTCCTCCCTTCCAGCTTATACTCGGAGGGGCTCTTCCTAACAGGGGACTCAGGAGCAACCAGGCCAGGTTTCTCCGCTCCACTGTCCACCCGGCTGGTTAAGGCCTTGAGGGGAACAAAAGAGACGGTGCTCATCTGAGCTGCATGGGTGCTGCTGACAAAAGCTCGGCTCTCGGAGGCTGGTGGGGGCTCCTGCGGCCCACCCATGGGTCGGACTTGGTTCCCTGGCAGGCATTCGTGGGCACTAGCTGTCATCTTGGGCTTCAGCACAGGGCACAGGTTGTCCTCTTTGTCCTCCAGTGACATTTTCTTTCGCAGGTAATCGATGTTGGCCAGCTTGCTGTCTAACTTCTCACATCGGAGAAGCTCCTTGGCCTGGGAGGCCTTCTCTGTGCCTTCCCCCTTCCCAGTGACGCCCCTGTCGAGGGAGTGGCAGAGACCATCCTGGAGGGTGCCAGGAGCAGGGGCCCGTCTGAAGTCCCCGCCACCATGGCCGTGCTCCACAGAAGCCGGGCCATCAGAGGTGGCACCCTCGCTGGTGCGCACGCTGGCCTGCTTGTGAAGAGTGTCCTTCAGCAGGCTGCCCAGCGGCGGCGTTTCCTGCAGGGCCGCTTTGTTTTCAAAAGGACTTGACCTTTCCACAGCCTTCGGATAGATTTTCTTCTCTCTTTCTTCCAGCTTAAACAGAGCCAGGTTTTCCAAATCACTCCCAGGTCCGTGGGATTTCTGGTGGGATTCCGGTTTCTCTGGGAAGCCGTCTGGCTTCTTCACCACCACCTTGGCCTTCAGCTTGTCGCGGTCCAGGTCATCCACCGACTCCTGGCGGCCCAGCTTCCGGGAGACTGGGCGTTTCAGGCAGCCTTGCTCCACTGGCCTGGCGCGGCTGAGCGGCGGCGCATCGCACACGTTCTCGTCCAGGCTCTGCAGTGGCGCCTCGCGCTGGGACTGCTCCCGCTGCACCTCCTCCTGGGTCACCTCCAGGCTGTGCTTGCGGGAGCACAGGTGCTTCTTGTCACTGCTGTAGGAGGGCGACAGCTTCTCCTCGGACTGCACACGCTTGAGCAGTGGGGACCTGGGGGGCTCTGCGCTCTTGGGTCTCACGATGTGTCTGACGATGGTGGGCGGGGAGTGCATCTTGCTGGGAAAGGCTTGGGCGATCTTGGAATTGCCCAGTGAGTGTCCCAGAAGAGGGGACGGTGACCGCTGTGGGGAGGTGGGTTGCGGGGTTGGAGAAGGCGTCCGGGCCAGTGGGGACAGCGGGATGTTGCCGGCCGACTTTCGCCTCCCAGACCGGTACCGCTGCCCGCTGAGTTTGGGTGCCAGACCGTGGAGGGTGCTAGGCCGGATATGCCCAGACCCTGCTGGGGAATTGGGGGCACTAGAACTCGGGGAGCTGCTCTGGGAGGAATTAGTACCTGTGGATGGAAAACAGAAGGCTGTGAGCATCCACGGTCATTTTCCCCTTTATTTCACAGTTGCAGCCCAGATTGTATTTGGTAAGGCCAGGTAAGGTCAGCACATTGCCTCAGCATTTAACAGGTGGAATAAACACTTTTCATATAAAACTCTCCACACCAAGGTGCAGCCCTGTACTTCTGGCCTTATTTGATTGGTTAGAATGGCACATCTTAGGACCTCTCTATAAATCTGTCTTTATATTTTACACCTTCAGCCTTTCTTTCAGCTGGAGCAAGCTTCATGCGTTTTGGGACCTCACACGATGACTTTACCTCCCCTCCCCTCTGCTGTCTGGACCAGGAGACTCACCAGATGGGAAGTCGGGGGTGGAGCGGTAGCTTGGCGTTGGAGACCGGGGAGACAAGCTATGAGTGGGGGAACCTGGGAGGCTCTCACCCGACGACAGGGACCTGTTCAAGCAGGAGAAACTTCGGCTGGTGTGGAGTAAAGGAGAAGGCTGCTTGGCTAGCTTTTTGAAAAGAGATCTCCTCCTAGAGTAAAAACAGGACAACATTGTTCAGAGTCTTCTTTCAGAATGATTCCTGCCTCCCTACAATACCAGTGTGCTCAGCTGAATAACTCCACGTGAGAGACAGTGACACAACAGCAGATCCTATGAAAGAGCAGCACACCACTTTCCTATTAGAAACTGTCTTATGACATGTAAAGGAAGAGTATTTGATAGCAGACAATGGAGGCTTTCTCAATTCCAAATGCTTAAGAAGAGCTAGGAAAATAGGAAAAATATACACTGTATTAAAAATACATTCATTTACTTGTTAGGTTTATGAGGAGGATGTTCATTGGTTGAACGCTTCTGAGTACCTACCCCTAAATATGTGGACACAATTTAACTAAGAGATTAATACAAAGTAAACCTCTGGAAGCAAAACCATTATACTGGAAATCAAATTCTTTAATGGTGATAGGCTGGGCAGAGGCCAATGAAGGGTTATTTGCTGTGCTTATTCCATTGTGGGCTCTTGACTATTCCTAACAACAATGCAGGCTGTACATTTACATAGAATAACTGAGAAGGGTGAAGCTGAAGCCTATGGCAGGGCAGCAGACACTAGGGCAGCAGAAGCAAATGTGCATGTGGTACTCAAGGAGCACATCTTAAGGCAAAAAGCGAAGCTTCTGACAGCTTATCAGGACATCAGGCTGTACAGAGTTCTTTTACCATATAAGCCTATATACGGTAAACCTAACCCACTCCACATGAGCTTAAAACAGAAAGTTTCTGGTCGATAGCCCTTAAAACAATTTGTTCTAAATGATTTAAAGCACAATCAAAATGTAAAGCATAATAATAAAGAAGGATCTCAGAACTTGTATATGTGTAATTTTACTCAAAGTAATAAAAAATGAACTTAGGTGAAAAAGTCAAGTAGTTCTGTAAGCTTACAATGAAAACCAGCAACTCCTCTACTCAAATTTTTCTCCACTCCCCAAAGAAATCACTTTGCATTCTTTTACCTGTTTCTTCTCCCATTTGTCTATATATTGCTAAATAATGTGTGTATACTGCTATTTTTTAGTTTTTCAGTTTTAGAAATTATCTATTGATTTCATACTGTGAAATATGAGAATTAAGCTCTTACACAACCCCCTTCTACCTTGCAACCAAATGTATTTCCTCTTTCCTATTCTTCCCAATATAAGGAAAGCAAAATTTTTGGTTAGAAAAATGGCTGGCATTTTACTTTATATTATCAATATTGTTCACAGCTGGGTCATATGAAACATAATTGCATAACTTTATTCTACCCCCCCCAAGTTAGTACATTGTTTTTGTTGGCTTATTTTTCTACATTTCTATCATCAACAATCCTTTTAATATGATGTGACTCATCAGGTCCAATTGGACAAAGAAGAAATGCTGTGGGATTGCAAAAAAGGCACACCCAGAAAGCTGCCTGGCAAGAAACGGCTCTTTCAGAAACACATACACACACCTTGCTAGTGTCTACAAACAGCACAGAAAGATACCGATCGATGCTTTCTAGGCTGCAGAAGCGTGTAAGCTAGTTTGATTTTCAGTGAGTAAAACAAAGCCCTTTTATTTCTAGGCTCATTTGGAACCTTTAAAGATACAGTTATTTTAGAATATCTGGCATTTAAAAAATAGCAACTGTTTGTTTTTTAATAATGCAAAGGATATTTTAAAAGTAGATTTAATGTTAAAAACTGCCTGAAGGTTCAGTTCCTCAATCCAACTCAACTGAAATCAAGTGAAGAGGCTTAAAAAACAGCAAATGGCTTTTCCTGGCATTCACACATGATAAAAAAACAATTGGAATCCGTTTATAGTGTAAATATGTAAATCCTTTTACTATGGAAATTAATGCTATCATGAATATGGACTTCAATGTATACATATATGTAAACCATAACATAAAATTTCTCACAGAAAAATAGATCATCTTCATATGTAAGCATTTAATTAAGGAGTAACTTTTCTCCAAAATAGTTATACACCAAACTTTTAAAAAGAATACTGATTTTGCTAACCTTTCGAGGCTTTCTTTCTTCTTGGATTTCTTGCTCCGCCTAACCATCCGGCTCTTATAGCTGTTTCTCCTGGCTGGTCCAGTTTTGATTGATGTGTTTTCAAATGGGGTAGTAGTGATTGACACCTTATTCCCACTCTATAGGAAAGATGAGGTGGTATTAAAGGGAAATGCTGTGATGAAGCAAGATCAGAACAGAGATGAGAGATTCATAGACAAATACAAATAGAAAGGAGCATACATATAAAAGGCCTTCTGTTTCTAAATAACCCTTCAATCAAAGAAGTCCTGCCAGAATACAAACTGGGTGGAAGGCAAAATATAAAGTTTCTTTAAGAGGGTGAGCTCTGGAGTCCACAGATAGGAGTTCACATCTAAGCTGCTACCCTCCCTACACCTCACCTTCCTGTACCAGCTAACAATATAATCCTACCTATCTCCTGGGGCTCACTGGAGGATCACATGAGAGCAAGTCTGTAAAGCCTTTTGCACCCAGTGCAACACAAGGAAAGAACACTACAAATAAGATAACTACTTCCACAGGTAGTAAGTATTAATGTGCCCAGTGGCTGTCTGCTCTTGGTTGATTTTTCTTTTTTCTCCTTTTTGTGTTTTTCCTTTGGCCTAAAAATTGTAGAGTAACAAAACTGAATGAGACTTTTATTTTTAATTATCTTAGAAGGCTCCTTTTCTATCATCATAAAACCTGTCAGTTTGCAAAGCTGGAACATTTATGCCAGTCAGTAGGAAACCTCTTTTTAACCAGGTGATGCAGGGTAAGGTAATTTCTGGTGAGTTTCTGTGTCCTTTCTCTCAGTCCTGGGAAGGGGCTTGCTCAGCTGCTTCTAGGGATGGAACTGAGCATGGAGTCAGCAGCCAGGCCAAGGCAGGCCCAGGGCAGGTTGGTAGTCCCTGGCATCAATTAGCCTTCCTGAATTTCATAAATAACCAGGGAAGAAACCAGACCTTTCAAGGTCAGGGATAGCCCTGATTACCTTGAAAGTACAAGAGGTACAACGAAAAGGATCTTTTAAAAGACCCATGTCTGGAAGATACCTAGAGCTCAGCTCAATGTGGTACCAAGTGAAGGGGAGTTAGGTATGGTGGCAGCAGAGGACTGAAAAGACAGGTAATGACTGTCTTAAAGACAGCATCTACTTTTCCCCTTGATTTCGGAAGTAGTCCATGCCACAATAAGAAGGCAATAGGAGAGTATTTTAAAAAAATCATTGAGAGGCTTACCACCCAACCACTAGTAATATTTCCTGCTGGTCTTTTTTCAAGCATGTGCAAATATGCACATATGTACACATGCATTATAACTAATTTATATCTCAGTTCATTTACAGTTCTATGTTGCTTTTTCATTTTGCACGTTATATAATTTGGAAAAAATGTTCCCTTCCCTACTGCTATTGTTTTATTTTCTTTTTTTTGAAACAGAGTTTCACTCTTGTTCCCCAGGCTGGAGTACAATGGCACCATCTCGACTCACTGCAACCTCCACCTCCCAGGTTCAAGTGATTCTCCTGCCTCAGCCTCCTGGGTAGCTGGGATCACAGGCATGTGCCATCATGCCTGGTTAATTTTGTATTTTTACTAGAGATGGGGTTTCTCCATGTTGGTCAGACTGGTCTCAAACTCCTGACCTCAGGCAATCTGCCTGCCTCAACCTCCCAAAGTGCTGGGATTACAGGTGTAAGCCACCGTGCCAGGCCCATTATTTTCTATGTTTATATTCTTATAAGGTTTGATGTTGTTCCTTATTTAGTTTGGTTATTTCTTTAAGAAATGATTTATTCAGTTTTACATCCAGTTTAATATTGGAAGGTCTTAGTGTTTTATTATTAGTTTTAGAGTTCTTTAATTTTTTTTAATTAAAAAAAGTTTGTTTTTTGAGATGGGGTCTTGTTTGGTTGCCCAGGCTGGAGTGCAGTGGTGTGATCACTGCTCACCACAGCCTCAAACTCCTGGGCTTAGGCAATCCTCTTGCCTCAGCCTCTGAGTAGCTGGGATTACAGGAGCACACCACCAAGGCTGACTTGGAATTCTGTTCTGTTTAAGAACATATACTTTCATATCTAATGTCATATTTGCAGAAAATATTTTAGGGAAAGGGGGGGTTTAACTTCGACAAGAGAAAAAAGTTTATTTTGTTTTCTATCATAAAATAATGAATTATACATTCTTTATGCAAGTGCCAAAATAAACTTTTATCTGATAGCAGAGATTACATTCTATTTGTTCTTTAATGAGAAAATCATTTTATAAGTCTGTAAGATCTATCATTGCAGGTTTTTTTGGAGTGGGGTCTTCTCTTCACAAGTTGAGGCCATGCTGAAATTTTAGTTTTTCCTATGGTGAAGGAAAGGGGCAACAAGCATGGGTGGAGCTCCTCTGTCACTGACGTTCTTTCAGTCTGCTTCCATGTGCAGAGAGTGGACATGCAGAACCATAATAATCACTGGGCTATTCTATCACGTGTGCCACTTGAGCCGGAATCAGTTCCACTCTTTTCTAACACAATCCAGCACTGACTTCTATATCTTTATCCATAGGAGACTAACAATACTTGGCATTTTAAAAGTTTATATTTACTTTTAAGCCATTTTCATACATATTCTCTAAGCCTATTTTCATAAACAAGTCATAAGGGTTGTTTGTTTTACCCTCATGGCCTAAAAGAGTTTGTTACCCTTCCTTTACAGATGAAGAAAACGGATTCTGAGACCCTGAGGTTCTTGTTTCCCAAAGCCACTGAGAGTCCAGTGGAAGAGCCCATGCTGGTTCTCTTGCTGCTCACCCCCAATCCTCCTCCTGCCAAATCCTGCTCCCTGTGGGCAGGGAATGCCCCTCCCCCACAGTCCTCTCCACCTCTCCTGAGCCTGGCACAGTGTAGGCAGGGAACACCCTTCTCCCCCAGTCCTCTTCACCTCTCCTGAGCCTGGCACAGTGTGGGCAGGGAACACCCCTCTCCCCCAGTCCTCTCCACCTCTCCTGAGCCTGGCACAGTGTATAGCTTGTACTTAGTAAGTGGTGATGAGGGAACCAGGCACATGATTGACAGGTGGCATGGTCAAAGTATAAGACTGTCAAGATAAAATGAAGAAGCTATAAACACATAAAATTGTATAAGACACATATAAATCCTGCACATATTTATCATCAGAAAAAGGTGAAGACCAGGGCTTGCTGAGTGACAGCACATCACTAGACTGTACAAATGCTCCTTCCCCCATAAAGACAAAAACCAGTTCGGTTTCTTGTCTCTACAAATGGCTATTCCAGAGGACAGTTCATTTAACTTACAGGCATACACCAAAGACAATTTCTCTAAGGGGAAATACAAACACAAAGGATGCAGAGTACAATAATTAGGTTGGAAGTATTAATGGTTACAAAAATGGTAAATGATTGGAAAAATGATAGGTGAGATTTGGGAAGCCTGCCACCTGGTGGATCCATCCAGCTATAGCGAGTGCTACCTGAACTGCTGAAGGTGGCTTACTAGGTCGGTTTACTCACAACTAATTTCTCTTGATTTAATGACTGACCTCCTATAGGAGAATTTCTGTGGCACTTGTTTAAAAAATAACAAAAATGTACCTGGCAGACTGTTAAATGTTCAATTAATTCACTTTAAACTACTTTCATGACTGGTGCACAGCGTGAAGAAAATTATTTTAAGTTGCCGAATTGAATACAATAGCAGATGTCAGGCAGTCCAATTTCTTCTCTCAGTCTGGTTCTATGTTAGCTTATCAGTTTGGCCCTTGGTAACTCACTCAACAACTGCTTTTTCATTTCCTTCTCTGCAAAGCGCAGATGGCGGATGAGCCCCTCTGCATCCTCATCCTGGTTCAGCCCCTTCACTACCCGATCTCAGCCATCTTGCACACTTTATTCTCACATTATCCCAGGCTTCGGCCTGCTGGTTCACTTGTACACCTCACAAACCTTGAGATCTCCTGTCCTTGTGTTTACACACCTCATCATTTGGCCTAGGCTGTCCTGCACCCCTGACCATATACTGAATCGCCACCCATCTATCAAAGCCTTGCACAGATAACCCTCAATTCTTTGATGCCATTCCTGTCCACCCTGGAGAAAAGCCATCCCTCCTTCAGAACTTCTGCCATGTTCCTTAAGTCTGTTCCTTAAGTTGAGCACTTTGATTTTCCCCTGATATTGCCATTGTTTCCCTCTGTGAACACTAGACTCTAAGTTACTGGCAACTGGAGACTTCACATGTAGAGCAGTGTGCTGTGCTATTGGGAAGTGCAGGCTCCAGAGCTACACTGCCTGGGTGCAAACCATCTGCTCCTTCCAGCAGATAAGCTCAAGCTGCTTTACAACTTCTCTCTGCTTTTGTTTTTTTCATCTGTGAAATGGGAACATTTATATTTATAGCATCTACTTCAGAGGGTAACTCTGTTTGGATTACATGTGTTTATTTCTGTAAATTGACCGACAAGAGTGTGGCAGGCATCAAGCGCTCCTGCCCTATTAACTATCATCCTTATGTGTCATTTATTTGAGATGGAATCTCGTTCTGTTGCCAGGCTAGAGTGCAGTGGCATGATCTTGGCTCACTGTAAACCCCGCTTCCTCGGTTCAGGCGATTCTCTACCTCAGCCTCCAAGTAGCTGGGATTACAGGTGCCCGCCACCATGCCCAGCTAATTTTTGTATTTTTAGTAGAGATGGGGTTTCATCATCTTGGCCAGGCTGGTCTTGAAGTCCTGAGCTTGTGATCCACCTGGCTTGGCCTTCCAAAGTGCTGGGATTACAGGCATAAGCCACTGTGCCTGGCCCGTATGTGTCATTTTTGTGTGGCCCTTGCAGTATTTTGCACAAGGTTCTGTGCATATCAGGGGCTTGACAGATATGGGAGGGTGGTAATCAAGCTATTTGATGGTCCCTATTTGAGTACACAGAAGCTCCCCAGTGTCCATGGAAAGATTTCTGAAGCAGAGGCTAGTAAAGTTTTAGGGCTTCTCCTATGCATTGGGGATGTAAACTAATGCTATACTTAAAAAGCATCTTGGTTGAAAAGAAAGTTTCTTGGATCACAGAAGTTAAGCCTGGCTAATGGGAACAGGTAACAGGACTGGGCCAAGTATCGTCTCCAACTGTAACTCTAGTGGGTGAAGAATGACCTTGGTCTACTTACAAAGTTTTTCCTAGAAAGACTGATGCTGCCTAAAAGCTTTCCTCATGGCAGGAAAGCTTTGAAGTGAAGCTGAAAGAGAACACTGTCAAGGATTCACAAAGCCAATGGGGAGCTGAACTGGATAACCATGACACTTTATAACTGCATGGATCTAGGATGCTGAATGACTTTGGACAAGTTTGCCTGTGCATGGAAGTCAGTGCTTCCATAGCAGGTTCACTTTCAAGTTGTGAAGGTAAATGAGACCAAATGTGAATTTATGAAACATGGAAAATGCTTCCTATATTTATAGCCCAAAAGACAAACACTGTACATGTAGTCATGCAGTTCTAAGGCTATACCTACATCCCTCTGTCAGAACTTCTCCACCTTTTTCTAAGAGTGCCTTGACATTCCATACAAGACATTCTCTGCAAGAATAAAACACTGTGTAAACAGCATTTGAGAGTATCACAATATAGCCAACTTCCCTGCTGTTAACCCAATGATGGCACACAGGAGCCCAGCACTGACACTAGTCACTTAATACTCTGTTTTCAAGAGTCATTGGTTAAATTTGGAAGAAAGCTGAAAGATTACACAGTTCACTGGGAGGATAATTAAATCCCTTGCATCCTCTTGGTTTCATGACATTGCTTACTCCTCTCGAGCGCTTCCTTTATGACAGGCAGAATGCTCTTTGGATTCGTGACAGAGTATACCATGGCTTCAAAGGGTGCCAATGGCTCTCCACTCCACTATATTTAAGCAATTTCAGTGACAGCACTGACTGCATCCAGGAATGGAGGCTTTGGGTTGTGCAAGGTTCTTCATAACCAGATGAGGGCAAGATAATAGAAATGGGATCATCTGAGTCTGCTAAGAGACTTTGCCAGAGTCCTCTAGGGAAAATACACATTCAGATTTCATAGAAGCAGGAAGAGAAGTTTTTTTTTTTGAGACGGAGTTTCACTCTTGCTACCCAGGCTGGAGTGCAATGGCGCGATCTCGGCTCACCGCAACCTCCGCCTCCTGGGTTCAGGCAATTCTCCTGCCTCAGCCTCCTGAGTAGCTGGGATTACAGGCACGCACCACCATGCCCAGCTAATTTTTTGTATTTTTAGTAGAGACGGGGTTTCACCATGTTGACCAGGGTGGTCTCGATCTCTTGACCTCGTGATCCACCTGCCTCGGCCTCCCAAAGTGCTGGGATTACAGGCTTGAGCCACTGCGCCCGGCCTCAATATATATTTCAATATATTTTTTCTTATTCTGATGTTGTTAACCATAACTTTATATTCTAAAGTCAGCAAGTAGCAAATCGAATAACTGAACAGAACTATCTGAGAGGATCAGTGTGTGTCCTTTCTCTGTTTCCATTTATAGTCATGCTTCCTGTGACCTTCTTACTCCATAGGCTCTATTCAGCCAACATTTTAAATAGAAATTGATCCCTATTTAATTTGTATGGAGGAGAGAGCGGTCTAATAATTGCCAGAACCTCTTCTTTCACTACCACTTACTTTCTATAATTTATAGTACATATGTATATATTTACAATGTTGTCTTTCAAAAGAACTCTAACTCTCAGACTATACCTTCAGATCGAACCTCACAGTTTAATACAATTTTGTCTTCTACTATACTAGAATAAAACCTGCTAGAAGTTCCTGAAGAAAGTCACATTTAGGACAGGTGACTTCCAAACAGATGTCACTGTGTGAGGTATATATACAAAGAGAAATCTTAGTACTTAACAATTTAGAATGAGAAGCAAAATTAAATTAGGGAATGAATACGCAGATAGAAGGACATTATTTCATGACATAAAACAAGAAATCATAATGTCTTTGTTGTAAGATTAAACCCGAGATGACTGAATACTTTCTCAGTACTGAGACATAGGTGTGCCACAGGGAAATCAATCTCCCGGTACTAGCCCCTTTGGGCTACCTGCCTCATCCGCATGATCCTGACATAAAAGATACAATACCTTCAGTAGGAGCTCTATAACTTCTGTGTGGACAAGTCCATGCACCGGTTCTCCATTGATGTGTGTGATAAGATCTCCAGCCTTCAGTCCTAACTGGCATGCTGGACTTCCTTCTTCTACGTTCTAAAGTCCAAGAGGAGAGGATATTTGTAGGCAAACAAATGACAACTCTTAACACCTACTGTGTCTTCTGGAATGAGTTAATTAGCAAGTGTCCTAAGCTTCTAATAGAAAATCTAAAAGGTATGGTTACTATTCCTATTCTGTCATTATTCTAAAATAGGAAACTTTCTATGGTACTTAGAAATTTTCAGGTGGTTCAGACTGAAAGTACCGGAGCCACAAAGAAAAAAAAAAAAATGAATGACCAAAACATTTCAGGTGATGCGAGAAGACAATTTTTAAAAAGACGGCCGGTGGCTCACGCCTGTAATCCTGGCACTTTGGGAAGCTGAGGAGGGTGGATTATGAGGTCAGGAGTTCGAGACCAGCCTGACCAACATAGTGAAGCCCCATCTCTACTAAAAATACAAAAATTAGCAGGGTGTGGTGGCATGTGCCTATAATCCCAGCTACTCAGGAGGCTGAGGCAGGAGAATTGCTTGAACCCAGGAGGCGATGGTTGCAGTGAGCTGAGATTGCTCCCCTGCACTCCAGCCTGGGTGACAGAGTGAGACTCTGTCTCAAAAATAAAAATTAAAGAAAGCTAGGATAAAAAGAAAAAGTAAAACAAGGAAGGAAACAGGATTGCCTTTGACTATTTCTATCAGCTTGGTATGTAAGAAAGAAGAATCAAATATAAAAACTGGACAGAATTATGAGATGTTAGCTTTTGCTAAATTCAATTCCAACATATACATACAGGGATGTAAGTATATGAAACAGGTCCCAAATGCAAGCTTAAAAGTAAACACATTTGCTATTTATCAGCCAACTTATCCACTCTGCAGCTTGGCTGGAAATGAAAAATCCCAAGTGCAAGGCATGCAGGTCTTACCCAAACGATATGGTGCACTGTATAGATGTCACTGTCTCCCACATACACCCGGATGGCTCGGATGGTAAAGCCGTAGTTCTTCCCTGAACTATGGATCACAATCGGCTGATGTGGACTGGCAGAAGCTGCTGAGGAATCTCGGCTTGGAGAGGAATCTCGTGAAGAAGAAGGGTCCGAGGACAGGGAATGGGGAGACATTGGACTTCCCAGAGGGGAAACAGCAAACATATCTGTAATGAAGAAGCCAGTTGTCAAAGCCCATGTGGTGCACACAGGCATCCATGCAGCCAACCCTCACCACATGAGCCCTGCCGGGACTGGGAGCACAGTCACAACACAAATCCTTTTGTTTCCAATAGCAAAATAAAGACGAAATAATATAAAAATGTTTCTTATCAGTACTAGCCTGAATTCTAAAACTGCCAAACTTTAAGAGTGTTGCCATTTTAACTAGTTTTTTAGTTAATACTCTCATGTTATAGTTTTTTAGTTTCTATGCTAATTAAAAGACATCACAAAGATTACTTTCTGGCTGTGACATTTTTACTTAATGTTTTATTTTGAGAAATAAATTATAGATGCACGTATTTCAAGTATGTCTTCATGTGGAGAAGACTATACAGTCTGTAGAAGACTATACAGTATCTGTATTATAGTAACAGATACTGAATTCCAAACTCTTCACTAAACAATTTTAAGATGGTTCTTTTCAACACACATAGGCAGGAAAGCAATTTATCAATTTACCAGCTGATTTCTACAATGTTATTGAATGAGTACTGATTAAAGAATTTTAATTGGCCAGGTGCAGTGGCTAACAACTGTAATCCCAGCACTTTTGAAAGGCCAAGGTGGACTTGTCACTTGAACCCATGAGTTCAAGACGAGCCAGGTAACATGGCAAAACTCTGTTTCTACAAACAATCCAAAAAAATTAGCCAGGAATGGTGGCACATGCCTGTAGTCCCAGCTACCTGGGAGACTGAGGTGAGAGGATCACCTGAGCCTGGGAAGTTGAGGCTGCAGTAAGCTGTGATTGTACCAGGGCACTCCAGCCTGGGCAACAGAGCAAGACCCTGTCTCCAAAAAAAAAAAGAAAAAAAATTTTAATCAAGAAAACAATGAAGTGGTGACTTCTCTATAAACGAACATTACTATGGTGACAACTGATTCTCTTCATGTATTACTTGCAATTCTAATAAGGTTTCTGAGAGGATAATGCAGGTGAAGTAAAGAAACCTGAAGAGGATCTCAGTGCATATTCCAAACCACCAATTCTACCGCTTTCTCTGTTTTACAAGCAAACTGCTATGCTCTGAATGTTTGTGTCCCCCTAAATTTTCGATGTAGAAATCGAACCTCCAAGGTGATGGTTTTAGGTGGGGCCTTTGGGAGGTGATTAGGTCCTGAGGGCTCTGCCCCTAATAAATTAATTAGTGCCCTTACAAAAGAGGCTAGAGAGAGCTTGTTCTTCCCTTCCGCCATGTGAGGACATAGAGAAGGTGCTGTCTATGAGGAACAAGCCCTCGCCAGGTGCTGAAACTGTTGGCACCTTGATCTTGTACTTCCCAGGCTCAGAACTGCGATCAACAAACTCTGTTGTTTATACCTTACTCAGTCTAAAGTATTTTGTTATAGCAGCAGAAATGAACTAAGACACAAATACACATTTATTTTTAGTTCATATCCCTGTTTCATCTATGTTAATCTAAACAGATCTTAACTGGTCCTGTAAAACTGTGTGTGCACGTGCACTTGAGAAAAGGCAGAATAGTCTAGAAAACATGATGAGGTTTAAACATGAGCTCAGTTGGAGCCAGGCTACAAAGTTCCCAGTGCTACCGAAGGCTCATTAGAGTGTGGTTGAGTTCCACTGTGGCTATTGCAAGCTGAAGGTATCCATATTACCCACTATTTCAATTCTTATGCTTGTTCAGAGAGCAAAGCCAACAACTGTTATCACTACCCATGCTCCTTCCTTCTCTGACTTCATGTAGCATCTTGGTTCTCTTCTGCTGGCTCCCTCCTGACTAATCAAAGGACACGTGAAGAGATGCATGCTGGCAGGCAGGGAACTTCAAGACACGCAGATGGGAGGAGGACATGTGGACACACACAGATCCAAACTGCTGAAAGGCCAGGTGCCCCGTTCTTTACCTTCTGATGGTCTCCCTTATTTTCCCAAATTGAATACTTTCTTTATTCTGTCAAAGTATGGGCTTTCCCACCAGCTTTCAAAACTACACTGGACAATATCCAACTTACCTTCCTAACTGTGCAGCTGCAGTGGGACCATCATCAGGTTATAAAGAGTCACACAGACTAGGGTTACAGGTGTTTGTTTTATGGTGTTAAATGGGACACCTCCCAGAAACTGAATCTGCTAGAGTGAGCACTACTCCCAAATGAGCATTTGTTTATGTCAAATTTCTTTCTATACAAATAGGAAATTTTAAAAACATAAACAATCCCTTTTATACATGGTCTGTATTCTTCCAAAAACAAGCCATCTGCAATATAATTGGAGTCCCATTCTACTCTCTTCTTGTCATTTGAGTGATATCACAACCATCAGGGTGTATATTTCATTTCCGCCATGGGATACTACAGACTTAGTGATCAGTAGAGGCAAAACCAGTCTGTGGGAAAATACTGCAACTCAACAAAACCTTAATTAAGCCCAGTTTTCCAAAACAGGGCAGAAGATGGTTTGCTACCAGTAGGAGGAAGGATAGCTCAACTGACAGGGTTGGGCAAACCCGGAATTTCAATACTGTCTGTGACTCTATCTCCAGAAATGAAAAGCTTATGTTCTGTATCTATTTTCCTCATTAATTAGATGAGAAAAATCATATACTTAGATATCTAAAACAAAGGTTGTAAGCAGCTCTATAAAGTGTATAAATTATATGCGGTCTAGAGAAAAAAAATTATTCAAGGAAGGAAAATTCATCACTTAACTTGGAGGAAGAAAAGAAAAGGAAAGGAAACAAAACAGAAATAAGCTTTTATGGAAAGGAAGCCTCTCTTGTACCCCTGATGCAGAAAGTAAGATGAAATAGGCCAAAATGCTCCTTGGGGGCCCTACCAATCCTGCAGAGAAAATTCGGGGTTTGCAGGCAGAAGCTCTCAAGAGCTGTCCTGGGACATGACCCGTTATTACTTCAAGCAATCTTGCATCTCACTCAGCATTCCAAATTGGGAGAGGAGGGACGGGACCACATGCACAAATCACACAATTTCATGCAAGTAGTATCTCTCTACCTCCTGGGATCATGAGGGACAGAGCACTGGCAGAGAGGGACTTTGTGACTTTCCCCGAGATTTTCTTTTTTTCTGTGCTTTCTAATCGCTGCCGAGCCATGTGAGAAGTGGGTTCACTGGATGGCTTTGAAGAATTATCTGTACTGTCCACACACTCGCTTCGTCCATTTATCTGATCCAAGTGCTCTGAAAAACTGCCAACTGTACAAAGAAGAAGGGATAAACACGTTCAGGAAACTCTAGCCTAGGAGAGGTGGGAAGAGGGGAAGACAGAGAGAGCAGGAAGAGTAAATGCCGGAAAACATACTCCTATGTGGCCAGTAGAAAGTCCAATCAGTGTCAGGAGAACATTAACAACATGTGATTGGTTTGACAAAGGTGATGGGGAGGAGGAAGAGATGGAAGAGGTGACTATTCAGGCTTCGTTCTACCTGTACACCAGTCTGCTAATTCTCAATCCATGACTCCATTTAACCAGAGGAATTAATTTCTTTCAACAATCTATATTTTTGAAAGCTTGAAGAGATAAATTCTGGTGCTTCTATCCCTTACACCATGAAAGGCTGGGCTACAAATCAAACATTACCTCCCAAACACCATGGCCACCTACTTCATACTGTGATTACCCTATGATACTGATGATTATCATTATCAATGCTGTTAATCCTAATTTTGACACATGGACTTTTTTCATCACTCCCTGTAGACTTTTGTGCACTCCCTGTCTGTGCTCTTAGAATACACGTCATACTAGGCTCAGGAATGTAACTGATAGAAAAGCGCCTAACGTGTCTCTTCTCACTTCTCAGCCCATATACCTCCTTTCATTCTAAGCTCCCTGTACATTTGGAAGGACAAGCAAGACAACGGATGTTACTCCCTCCATTACTGAAGCTCACTCCATCCTGCTGGCTTTTAATCCAGTGTATCATATGCTGCTCCATCTTCATGTTATTTCCTCGCCCTTCTGAACCTCACCTTCACTTTTAATTTTGTTAATCTTTAATATAAACAGGAGTTATTTTTAACTTAAAAAAATTGGGACTTCCCTCAACAACGGAGCACAAAAGAGGATTAACATGGAGGTGTGGGGGGAACTGGAACATCACTGGTGCTGAGCTGGTGAATGCAGAGGCCAAGAGTAAAGAAGGCTCTGCAGCAGGGTGACATGTTGAGTCCCCCAGAGGGAAGCTGAGCAGCTATTCCTTTTGATTTGTCCTACTCTTTCTTTCCCAGGTTATGGGTTTTCTATCTTCCTTTCCTTTAAAAGCATCATTGATAGCACATTTTTGTCCATCCAGGAGAGACAACGCTCATCTCATTTTTACTTCTAAATGCTACATTATAAGCCCCCTGTGATTAAAAGCCATCAACTCTCTCATCACTTTTATAGATACGATCCATGCAGAGTATTTCACACCACTATAAATGATCCTTTGAAAGGCCAGCCAGCACATTTTGAAGTGCTGCCCACGTGATACTCTGCATAGGAAAAGGTTAGACAACTAGCGTTTCTCATACACTACTATGTGGACACGACTCAGCTGTAAAACCGTAGTGTGGCCCAAGCTCATGGACAAAGTACAGATCTTACATCTGTGGTCAAGGCTAAGGGAAGCTGGGGACTTGGGACAGTGGCTTTAGGCACAGCACACTTCGTGGTCATCTACTATGCGTATGTACAGGAAGAGACTCGTGGACTTCCACATAACACCCATCTGACCAACAAAGGAAGATAATCTTAAGGCAAATGTTAATCTTTTTATTCCTATATGCTAGGCAAATATCAATCTTTTTACTTTTATATTCTTATTTAACAGTATATACCATTCTCTTACAGAAATCAACTATGGAAGGACTTGATAAAAACTGCTTTGCAAGTAATAAATCTCATCTCGCAAAACTTATGTTTTTCTTTGAGTAAGGTACACACTTCCTTCTTTGTACTTTGGTTTGGATGGGATCACTGACAAGTATAAAATGAAAAGCTGAATCTCTTTACAATGAGTAATTATTGGATACCTTCGAGCCTGACACCTAGGACTTCAAGACTTTTATTTTTCATGGCTTCAAATACAATGTAGTCATGAAAAAAGAGAAAGAGGTATAAAGTTGGACTTCCCTAAATGCCAGAGTGTGGATACACAACCTTGTGTCACCTCTCCCTCTTGCCTCTGCCATCTCATTTTGCAGCACTGCATATAAACATGTGCTTCTTTTCTGCCAATGGTAGATAATGTCACCTTAATGTTCTCTAAATGTCAAGGGTTCTTTCTTTTTGGTGGTGGAGCAATATAAAAATCAACAAATTTAATTTTACTACAGTCACGGTTTTCAGACTCCCTAATTACCCTTGGCTATAAGCAAATCAGCTCATCTCTCTATTCTGCGCAGCCCCCAAGGCCTTTGATTATTTTTAGTGTGTATATGGGGGAGACAGAGAGAGAGAGAAAGATGGTTTGAATCTATTAATCAAAATGCATGGCAGGACCTAGGTGGATTTTTTTTTTAATTATGAGAGTAATCAATCAAATGCTTAGACACGATTCCTCTCCCTTCTCCTCCTACCTTTCTGGTAGTGGGTAGGCTGAGGTGACTAAGAGATAGTAAATAGTTCACTATATCAAGAAGAAATTTTAAATGAAGGTGAATATACTCTATTCAGAGCAAAGTAACTAAGAGCCAGATAACGGCCTTTGTAACCAGGAATGGAAAATGCCAAGGTATCTACATGTGATCTGAGCATCAACATGAGCTACAGATGGTCAGGAATCTTAGTCTAATAAGTTGCCTTTACACTACTTCCTCATTGCTGTTCTCTTAGCTTTACGGTTAGGATAAGTAGAATCATGCAACATGAAAACAAAACTGAGGTGAAGACAAAGAAGAAAGTTCCACATTATTTTTCCCCACAATAAACTGTAAGGACATGTGAAGCTTCACAGATCCAAACTTATTTCACAGAGGTTGAAATAAAACCAGCCCATAAAATTTGTTTTTCTTGAAATGATTTTTAAAAAGCTTATACTATGAATATTCAGTTAGTTCAAAAAAATGTTGATGAAAAATCTTGGAATCATTCATGGTTATCAATACAGCATATTTAATGTAGCTTAATGGAAACATTTATTATAGCAATCCTATGCCATATCCATCTTTTATTTTCTGAAAAAGCATAAATACACATTACTCTATGGAAGAATATGCTGTGCATAAAATTTTTATAAACCAAATGATATTTTAAATGAACTTAAAAGGTTTGTTCTTGAATTAATTGCAAGTTTGATTATCTAGTGAGGATACCATTACTAAGGACCAGCAAGTATCCATGATATATTAAGTTCCTTAAAAATCTGTGAAGACACTGTTCTTCTTGTTAGGAAGGTTACATCACACAAAGGTAACATCAAAAAAGTCCTTTCAAAGCCCCAAGACCCCATGACTGCCTCCCATACACACAATGATGTCTCAGGAGTTTCTTATTCCAATTATCCAGAGATGGGGAAGGTAATTTTTGTCTGCAGTGGAGTTATTTCATATGCATGTAAAATACCAATTTAAATCTCAGTATTTCTGACCCCCCTTTCCCCTCCTCAGTCCTAGATGTACCAGGACAGCATTAAGTGTCTTACTGCACTCAGCTTGAGTCTCGTGTGGAGAGAGAAATTATTTCGTACAACATAATCCCTTAACAAAAGCCAACTCCATCAAATAAGCAACCATCCATTTCAATGCTAGAGAGAAACCTGGCTTTACACTGTGTCTTATGGTTGATTCAAGATATCTTCAAGTGTAATTCTGACAAGTTGACTACTGATACTGGCTCTTACACTGAACTTTCAGTTAGATACAACTGCACAAGACATACCTTTGAATCAACAGCTGAGAACATGCTCCCTTAGCACGTTCTAACTTCCCTCAAAAGATCCCCTGCAACCTGGCTGAGAAAGCGAAGTTTGGCCCCAAGGTTAAACTGAAGTAAGAACAGTTTGCTACCTGGCTGTGCACTCAGAAGGGGTCTGAGATATCTGATGTTAGTTCTCAGGAGATTGTGTCCCAAGCCTAAGGACTGAGACCATGGAGAAAGTCTAGCAGCATAAAACAGCCATCCTTACTGCCTGGCGAGGCCAGCCCTAGGAGACACTTAGTGTGGTGAGGAGGATGTCAGGCACCACGGCCAGGGGCTTACCGGACAGGGTAGAGCTGCTGATGGTGCTGGCTGGGGTGGTGACCTCAGGCTCCTCCTGGGCACACTCTTCAGGAGGAAGGGCTGGCTTTCCTGGCTCCTCATGGGGGTCTCCAGGGCAGGAGGCAGCTTCATCTTGTTCTCCCTCTGTTGAAATAGCCAGTTTGGGAAGTAGGCCAGAACTGAGTTTATGTCTGTTGCTTTCAGTATCTGAAGAGTTGGATGTTGATAGCTGTTGCCTTAAAAACAAAACCAAAGTCATACATACATACATACATACTAGAAAACTGTGTTCAAGGTGAGTTGTGGAAGAAACCAGGTGAAAATGGGACTTGAGTCAGCCTAACCAGGACATGTGTAGTGCAATGGTTCTTAATGTGTGGTGCCCAGAGCAACAACATCTGCATAATCGGGGTACCTGTTAGAAATGCACATTTTCAGGCCCCACCCTAGATCTATTGGATCAGAAACTCTGGAGGTGGGCCCAGAGATCTGTGTGTTAACAAGCCTCCCATGTATTCTGAAGCTCACTGAAGTTTAAGAAATGCTGCTCTAGTAGCTATATTACTTAAGAGGCGTTTCACATACATTTCAGAATATTCTGAACTCCAGCTCAGTGTTTCTGTGGATGGCAAGGTTGTGCTTTTGGTTTTGTCCCCAGAGTCTTCCTTCTCTTCTGCTGAATTCTGAGTGATTCGATCTATACTGCTGAAAACCTGGAAGGCAAATAATCGGTGCTTATTATCATCTACTAGAAAGAGTTTGTCAGAAAAACACTCCAAGTCTTGGGAGAAAAACCTGAGAGGATAACTAAATTCTGAACGGAAATTGTGAATTGTGTATTCAGAAAGTACTTTCAAGTATTGTTGAACAGAATCCTGAGAGGAAGGGTCAGAGAGAAAGAGAGAGTGAGAGCGTGTGTGTGTGTGTGTGTGTGTGTGTGTGTGTGTGTGTGTGTGTGTGTATGTGCTTGTGTGTGTGTACATATATATGAATAGGGAGCTATGAATTCATCACCCTCTCATCATATCTTGTTGCGGACTTTGTATCTGCAAACACAATTCATTCACAGATGCACTGGAGTTTCTAGGCCTCGGGATCAATGCACATCTTGATTACTTTCTAACTATGAAGTCAATTGGAAAAAGAAAACAACAGAGAAAAAGATTTAATGGCCACCAGTCAGGGCTAGGAAGAAGAAAAATGAATTGGAATTGAGTGCAAACAGAATAAATTATCTGTTTCAAGACTGGGTGGTGGTGTGGCAGGGATGCAGTGCACATTTGGTTATAAAAGCCTGAGGTATTTGCTTGGCTTACAAATCACATACATAGACAGGCAGCTTCCTATGCGGTACTGGGATTCCTGAAGGGGATCAGAGCTCAGGCAAGCCCAAGGTCTCAGCTACCTCTGAATCTCTGTTGTCTCATAGGAAGGAGAGAAGGTAACAAGAGGATCTAAGAGCCTAGGGCAGGAAGCACCCCCTACTGCCCTGCTCAGACACGTGCTGCTCTGATGGGAATGGTTCTCAGGCCTCCTATAATCTACTAGGAATAGAAGGAAAGTGGCTAAAGAACAGCAAACAGTGGGAAAATGAAATACCCACTAACGCAAAGAGGGAACAGGGTTTAGGGGTTGGCTTTGACAGATCAGAGAACAGTCCTCGTCTGAGCCCACACTTAGCAAAACTGCTGCCCTGGGTCTAGGACAGACCGGCTATTACCTTCTCCCGAGAAATCCTTACCTCTATGCCATTCCCATAAACGGGGAGGGTAGTGCTGGCCAATGTGCAGGTACATCTAGGTAATCATTTCAAAAAAGCTACAGAGCACTTTAAAGTCACTAAATGTTATAGAAAAGCTAAACAATAATCATGCAAAATGTCGTGGCAACAGAAAATACATAGCTACTGAAAATAGCAAAAGGGAGGTAGAGTGCCCTCAGGTTGATTTCCATTTTTCCTAGGGCCCTGTACTGCCTCAGAATTATCAGTTTTCTTTGTTTTGATGTTTTTTTTTTCTTCCTGAGTAGCTGTGTCTAAGAGAGACTTCCACTCTCGGTACCCAGGCTGGAGTGCAATGGCGCGACCTCAGCTCACCACAACCTCCGTCTCCTGGATTCAAGCAATTCTCCTGCCTCAGCCTCCTGAGTAGCTGGGACTACAGGCGCACGCCACCATGCCCAGCTAATTTTTGTATTTGTAGTAGAGACGGGGTTTCATCATGTTGACCAGGATGGTCTTGATCTCTTGACCTTGTGATCCACCCATCTTGGCCTCCCAAAGTCCTGGGATTACAGGCGTTGAGCCACCGCGCCCGGCCCTGTTTTGATTGTTTTTTAAATCTTACCTCTACTGGTAAAAAAGGCATCTTTCCCAAGCATCAATTTCATTATCTTCTATCATTTTCATGATTCTAGCTTGGCTTCCTACTACCTTTTCAATATGACTTACAATTTCTATTTATTGGTTAGGAGACTTTCTCTTTTTTTTGTCTTTTTTTTTTCCTTCTTATGGAGAATGGGGTCTCGTCATATTGCCCTGGCAGGCCTCAAACTCTTGGGCTCAAGCTATCTTCTTGTTTCTGCCTCTCCAAGTGTTGGGATTATAGGCATGAGCCAGCACACCTGGCAGTTACGAGACTTTACAATCCTACAGTCAACTCCCAGCTATCTTTGCTTACGTCAAGGATTGAGCCTCCTCCTTGTGTCATACTCTGTGTAATCCCTAGAAGAAGACTCTGCACACAGGAAAGCTCATGCTCTTTACCCTAAGTTGAAAGCAATGAGTGATGCCTCCGTATCCTGGCACTGAGCCAGGTGAGAGATGTTCAAGGCAAGGTCATCATATAAGCAGCAGTTACACAGTCCAAAAACAAGACTGTGGGTGCAAAGCTGTGTCTCTCAGAAAACCAGATCTTAATTTGTGGAGAGAGATATATATTATCACAGAAGGATAGAGGCAGACTATAAGTTGATGGGGTCACTTTTCTTCAACAAAAAGGAAGTTTAAGCATAGGAGACCTCAGATCCCTGAAAGGGTAAGTATCCAAGCTGCTCAGGGATGAGATCTGGCCAGTGGGAGATTCTCCCAGAGAGACTCTGTATGTTTTTGCCACATTTCACTTACTTTTGAAAACCTATGTGAACATGAAGAGAACTGCCTTATTTCCACATTAAAGTCTTCATCATTTGTGTCATCTTCTTCCTCCGTTTCCATATGATGATACTTCTCAGACCGAGCTGCAGTGAAATGTTTGGGAACAGGTCCAATTACTCAGATTTTCAGCTTTTAGATATTTTAATTATGAGTTTCTGTATCAAATCAACATTATGTTTAAGAACTCAGAGATATGAAAAGGTTCAAAAGCAAAGATAATTATTTATCGGGTAAAGCCCAAACAATGTTTTATGTCAGATAAAGCACATACTATCAAAATAACTTGTGTCATCCTCAGATTCCAGTTGGGGAATAAATTCTGCCTTCTGTCTCAGCAAACTGTTCCAGTCTAAAGAACGGAAGAACCGATGCTGTTTCACCTCATAGGCACCACCTGGAAGGGGACAGGTAGAGACAGAGAGGAAAGTGTTAAACTATCCCCACTAAGCAAAGGCAAACATCAGTTTTTAACAACAATTTTGAAAACGTATCAGCAGAGAAATACACGCATGAAAATCATACTTTTTCATTCTACAACCAAAGCCCCACAAATTTTTCTGTTAAATTATCAGTAGGAGATTTGATGTTGCTAACAGCAGTTGCTATGGCACTGTTTTTTTCTTTGTTAGTTTTTTTCCATGACTTCCTCCATTTTTCAAAGGTTAATGATGTGGCCACTTACAATCACATTATGCTGAACCTGGAGAGGTGGATAAATATTGGTCCACAGCAGACTCTCTCATTAAAAACCCAAAGAAATCATAACAAGGTACAACATGTGTTCACAGCAACATTTCCTCTGGAGGTAAAGTTAATATTGATAATTTTTTTCCTAAATATTATTTATAGAGATCACCATTCAATTTTATTAGATTGCTCATTAACATAGATAAGAATTAGATTCTGTGGATAGCAGATTCTTAGATAGGAAACTGACAAATCTGTTTTTTATAGACTTATAATGCCCCCCAAAATATCAATCACCATTTCAAAGTTTTAGGCTTCTTTTTGCCAAGTCAGCATGATAGTAAAATGTTTTCAATTCAGTTCATAATTTTAAAGAGTGATTTTAAAGGACAGGCCCATCAAAAATATTAACACTATGCCCTATATAAAAAGAAAAAGGTACATGTTATAATATCATAGCAGAAGAATCAGACCCTCACCCTGCTACCAGCACATATATGGTAGAGGGAAATAACAAAGAACCAATCCTAAAAAAACTCTAGGAAGAGAGATTTCTGAGAAGCTGATACAGGGTCTAATCAGCCTCCCTGCCAAGAGATCTCTGCTAGGTGCAAGTAAATGCCTCTTTCTTGCAGTTGTCAACCAGGCCTCTCATCCTGTCCTCTGTGGGGTACAAAAAGAACAGGATGAGAAATGCCAAGGTGAATGCAAAATGGGCTGTGAATCTTGGTTGGGGGTTACTGTCTGTGGATCAAAGATTGGATTCTGTCCTCACTGGACCACTCTAGCACAAGGCATAGTGTCAGCTCTAACTCTAAACTCAGCCAGGGCAAATTGGTGTTCTGAAAACGAGGGAATGGAGTGAAAACAGCAAAGCGAGGAAATTACTCAAAAAAGGGGGAAATGCATTCTTCTTTACAAAACATTTAATTGTAATCTTTACCCCAGATTACGCAGGTGGTTTCCACATTTCCAGCAAAATCCTGGAGTCTGATGGTAAGCATGAGCAGCTATGACTGAGGGCCAACTTGTGACATGTATTGTACTAGATGCTACAGGACAGGTGTCTTATTTCCTTTAATTATATCACCAAATATAATCACACCAAGTGGGCATTATCAGCACCTTTTGTGGATACGGAAATGAAGCATAAGCAATAAAGCACCATGGACCACGATCCCCCAGAGGGTAAAGATTCAAAGCTGAACCTAGGCCTGCCTAAAAACACCCAGGCCCAACCTCAGTACCACATATAAGGTGGAGGCATGCTTTAGCAGCACTAAACCACTCCATCATCTCTCTTGCATTGATTTGCAAACAGATTCAGAACCGCCAATACTGGGGAACTGAGCCTGACAGCCACCTCATGCGGCTGTTCTGCAGCATCTCTGCAGAGTCTCATTCCAGCCCACCATGCATCCTTGCTCTCACCTATTCCTAATCAATGTCCCTATACACAGTTGCCCATCTCATTTTCTTCTAGTGCTCTTTTCTCTTTTTTTTTTTTTTTCGAGACGGAATTTCACTCATGTTGATCCCAGGTTGGAGTGCAATGGTGAGATCTTGGTTCACTGCAACCTCTGCCTCCAGGATTCATGCAATTCTCCTGTCTCAGCCTCTTGAGTAGCTGGGATTACAGGCATGCACCACCACACCCGGCTAATTTATTTTTAGTAGAGATGGGGTTTCTCCATGCTAGTCAGGTTGTTCTCAAACTCCGACCTCAGGTGAACCGCCTGCCTCGGCCTCCCAAAGTGCTGGAATTACAGGCGTGAGCCACTGCACCTGGCCCTCTAGTGCTCTTTTACTTGGAGAAACAGAATATAAAAGCTAAGAGGGCTTAACTGTTTCCCTATCCAACACAGAGGTCATCAGCATGGGGTGGGTGTTGGATAGGGAAAACCCTAGTTAGGGGCCCACAACACACATCTCTGGACTCCTAGTGTAGTGATGGTTCCACTATACCGCAATGACTATCACTTTAGCTGCTGCTCATGGGGCCACATCAACGGCCCAGCCCTGACATTTTGGGTTGCTCAATTTTACCAGAAAAGCAGTTTCTCTACGGCCAAGATCTCAACCAGACTATAGCCAGAGTGTTAAGGGTTTTACTCCCTACCGCGGGCTACCCTCTGGGACCCAAGCTGGTGAGAGCCTTCGTTTCATCTCTGTAGGCAAGGACAAATGGGTCCTCCCCAAGCCCATGGTTGATCTAGTTCACATTTCTCACCCTTTGGCCTTTGTGCCTCACTTATGACAAGCTGGTATCAGTGGGTCCAGTTTCTTTTGCACTTAGGGAGAGATAAGGAAGAAAAGAAAGGAACAAATTGGAAATGACCTCTGGGCTAAGCTTTTGGTAAAATATGGGCGATAGCATCATGAGCTAAAAACAAATCACTCATGCAAATGATAGTTCTCATTGTAAGAATTTATCATGAAGGGAAGGGAAATATTATTCCTTGAGCTCCTGTTCAGTACTTAGTAAATGAACTATATACCTTCACGAACATTTTTGCATTTATGCCTCACAATAATCCTGTGAAATATATAAAATGCCCATTTCCATAGACTAGGAAACTGAGACTCAGAGCAATGAAGAAACTATTCAAGACATGGGTAGCAGTGACATCTGAGCAGCTCTGAAGTCCAATGAGTCAGGCTGCCACTCAATACTTGACAAGTTCAAAAGTATAGTTCCAGTAGGACAAGCTCCCAAATTGCAATTTATGCTTTGACACTAACACTTTCCCTTTTCTCTCCTTTCATGGAAGTTTCTTAAACATCCATTATGTTCTTCACACCCTTTTCTCAGCCTCTCTAATCTCTTGGGCAAATGTGCATTCGCACATTTTCACGGTGCATTATTTTGCCCACTAAATATGCATAAATACAAAACGCTGTCATTGGAGGCAGCATGGCAGGCCTGTGGGATTCTCAGCCTCAGTCTCCAGGCCCTACTGGGACCTGTCATGTTGGACTGGCCTGTTTGGCAAGCACTTGACAATTCTAAGAGCTTGAGTAGGGTCTTTTAAATGTCTCTTCTGGGTTTCTGTTAGGGGATTTGTTCTTCAAACTGTCAAACCCTAAAAAGACTGAAAGTAGCAGTCAACAAGAAAATGTGCAGAGAAGTAACTTGAAGCATATGATTTATAAACACAGATATGCTGAACATTATCACATCCTTGTCTAGTTAAATCAAGCACAACCAAGAATCCAAGTTTTCTTGGAAGAGTAAATACAGGGCAGAATACAGGTTGAACATCCTTAGTCTGAAAATTTTATATCTGAAAGGCTCCAAAATCTGTAACTTTTTGAGCACCGATATGACATCACAAGTGGAAAATTCCACACCTAACTTCATGTAACAGGGGTTGAAACACATATGATGAGGCCAGGCATGATGGCTCGCACCTGTAACCTCAGCACTTTGGGAGGCCAAGATGGGTGGATCACTTGAGGCCAGGAGTTCAAGACCAACCTGGCCAACATGGCAAAATCCCCTCTACTAAAAATACAAAAATTAGCCAGGCATGGTAATATGAGCCTGTGGTCCCAGCTACTTGGGAGGCTTAGGCATAAGAAAACTCAGGAGGCAGAGGTTGCAGTGGGCCAAGATCATACCATTGCACTCTAGCCTGGGTGACAGAGCAAGACTCCATCTCAAAACAAACAAACAAACAAAACCCAACCAAACAATAAACACACACTATGGGCTTACTAAAGGACTACAGCAGTGTGCATTCATAACAGAATAGGAAATCATGTCAGTTTATGAACCTAGAAAAGAATTCTAAGATAAAACTGTTGTTAATGAGGCAGATGACTCTGGAGGAATTGTTTTAAAAAGCCATCCAGCAGGATGCCTCTTCTTCCCTAGAATAATTTCTTTTTATCCTTATAATAATCCTATGAAATAGCACTTCTAAAAGCTCCTTTTCAAAAATGAGGAGATGAGCAATGGAAAAAGAGGTAATCTTTTTCGAGATTTAAACTCAGGCTGACTGTGGAGTTTATGCCCTTAAGCTCAATTTATATTGCCTTTTCGGGTTAAAAGTCCACTCATCCACTGAAAAAGGTAAAAAGGCACAAGGTGCTCTAGTGAGAGGCTCAACTAAAACAAGTTTTCTAGTCAAGCCCCAATTTTAAGCCTTCTTGGATTCTCTAATGCAGGGTCTACAAAGCTTCTGTGTAAAGGGCAAAGTGGTAAACATTTTAGTCTTTGCAGGTCATATGTTCTGTCACGACTACCTAACTCTGCCCTTGTAGCATGAAAGCAGCCATACAATACCTAAATGAGTGGACATGGAGATGTTTCAGTAAAACTTTATTTACAATACCAGGCTGTGGGACAATCTGGCCGTAGCTTGCTGACCCTTGCTGTAACGCATTATCATAAACTCTAGTAGCACAGCATTCTATGCTTAGGTAAGAACAGAGCCCTCCAACAGGAGAATCGGTGGGTGAATGTGAAGAATAGTACACAATAAATATTTGGAGCTGTTTCAAATTTTTGTCTTGGAACAAATGGGGGAGAAAATGACTTCTTCAGTATTTTCTGGTATTTCTATTAAAATGGGGGTAGAATGAAACATCCCAGAGTAAACAACCCATCAAGCCAACACTTTTCTCTGATGAAAATTACGGATGCTGGCTAGACTATGTGCATTTATATTTAATATTTAGTCTCATCTACATAAATTCACATACTCAGGCAGACTGGGAGTCTATACTGGGATCGCTAAAGTCTGTCTATTCAGAATACAGAGAAGAAAAGGGAATAACATGCTGGCAGAACAGTCAGAAAAAATAATCAGCAAGAAAGAAATCTATCTCATTAATCCTGAAAGGCAGTGGTTTTTAATTCTCTTTCTTGGGTCATGGTGCTGATCACTGTGATGGGACAGCAAGGTTCAACCCCAGGCACTCATTTCTAGTAATTAGTTCAAGTACTGATAACCGATTTCAAAGCTTGTGGACAGCAACGTGCTGGGTCAAATCCGTATGGGGATGTGTATTTAAAGACAAAAACAAAAACAGCTCCACATATCAAATCCTCTGTTTCAAGTTATTTAAGATGCATGCTTTTCAGAACAGAAGAGTTACATGTGCCTTTGAGGTTTTCTTCCAGAGAAGTTTTATTTATTGAAACAAATTAAGTCTAATTTCTGCTTTGCCAAACACAAAAACAACAAAAAACAAAGACAACCAACTCTCTCAGTGTACTCAGTGTTTTGAATCAGAAAACAAAATCCAAAATATTATTGCTATAATGTGTTGCAGTCATGGTCTACACCAACTAACAGATGTTGCCGATCCAAAAGCAAAACAACAACAAAAGCTTCGGAGCGCTCCATGTAGACATTAGTTCTTGCATATTAGCAAAATTAAAACACATGGGCCCTAACCTGTTCCCAGCCTCTCCAGGGGATTCTGCCTGAGGAGTAAGGTAATCAGATCCTGGGCATCAGGTGGGGGTGCCTCATCCTTCTCAGGCCAGTTGATCTCATCTAGAAGGAAGAAAAGTTGTTTATAAGCATATTGTTTACAAGCTACTCCAGGTCCCAGCAGCATGGATATTACGTGGGAATTTGTCAGAAAGGCAGAGTTTCAGGCCCACTCCAGACCTACTAACTCAGAGTCTGCATTTCAACAAGATCTTCAGTTGATTCCTAAACACAGTCATGTTTGAGAAGCATTGTTTTATAAGACATAAGTAGCACAGACTTTTTACAAGGTAGGAAGAGAATATTTCAATAAGCCGATCTTTCGTTTGCTTTTTAAATTCATTTTTCTTTCCAAGAATTGGTTTCCAAAAGTTGCCTCTCTAGTTATTAAAAGAATTAAAATAATACAAACTCTAAACACCTGCATTTCAGGTGGCTACCTATCTAGGGATTATCTCAGGGTAAGATAATTAATTTCCACAACTGAGAATTTAGCCACAGCCATGTAATTCTTCAGCTCTAGGAAGCAAAAAGTAATTTTGTAAAAATAATTATTTCTAGGGAAAAAAAAGGTGAAAATGCTAAGAAAGAAGAAGAAAAGGAAGAAAAAGAACAATAATAAGAAGAAACAACAAAGAAATCATAGTAATGGAAGTATTTAAAATCTGTCATAAATATTAAGAATACATTCTCATTCTGAAGGAGTTTGCCTGAAGATAGGTGTGCATGCTTGTGTGTACGGAAATGCAATAAAAACATGAGTTATTTCTGTGTGTGCCTGCCTCTAGCTTCCTCTGCTGCAGTTTAAATCTGATTTGGAAAATAAAACATGAATATGCATCTGAGCCGTAAGGCATCAAGAACAAAGCCAGCATTTGCTGCTTGTGTTAATTAAACAGTTGATTCCCTTTGCCATTCAGGCCTTAGTATATCAGAAAACAGCCTAGTTATAAATCCATAAACAGCTCAGATATTGTATAAAGGGGTCATACACTGCAGGCAGCTCACAAATCTGCTTTGTGAAAGTTTACAAATATGCCAGGCTTGCAAAGTCAGTGATAGGAAAGAATGCTGTGATAAGGAGCTCCTCATATGCAAAATGAATTTTTCCCCTACTTCCACTGCTGGACCCTGTAAACACAGTCCAAATAGACTGTAGATGGCTGATAAAGATGTCAGGGATGCCTGACAAACTTTCGGGAAAAGAGGCCTTTTTGATCTATGTTACAGGAAAATTTATAAAATCAGCAGGTAGGGTAGTGATAGACCCTATTTAATTATCATTTAGTTTTGCCACAAGCCATATAACAATAGTTAGGGTCAGCTTGCAGGTTAATTTCTAAAAGTTATGAATTTTAAATGAAAGATCAACAGCTGTTATAGAAATAACATTGCGCCACAACAACTACCAATGAAATCATTAACAATCTGTGGATTCAATTTGCTTCTTTCCCAGTCTCATTATTCATTATTTGGTAGACATTTGTTTTAGGGTTTATTACATTTTTGTTAATTTCTTCATTATGCCATTAGCCATTTTCCCCATTTATGTAAACGTTACCCACATTAACCTTTTCTTCCCTGGCGCAACTTTCCTATCATGGAAAGGAAGACTGGATGGCAATTAAATTCCTATAAACCCCACACCAATTTCCTTTGCAGAAAAAGCACACAATAAAAAATGGTTTTGTTGCCAGTACATTTCCAAATTCTATGTTAACAAAATTTCCTCAGATCAATTCTCAACAAAAATTGCTCTCTTGAGATGAAGAATGTTAGTTATATGCTTCGATGAATGAATTCTTTTAATTTGTTGGCTCAACTGTTTGATAAAGGTTAGCATTTTAGTAGTAAAAACTGTGACACTCAACAGATTTACATTAAAAAGCTGCTTCCCAACAGTGACTTAAAGATAACTCCTGATGATATTTACCACTGATGACTTGTCCAAACAGCTCTTCTGGAGTATCCCCAAAGAACGGCACGCATCCAACCAGAAATTCATAGAGAATAATCCCCATGGCCCACCAGTCCACCGGCTTTCCATAACCCTGCCTCAGAATCACTTCTGGTGCAATGTATTCAGGTGTGCCACAGACCTAAAAGATAATTGCAATATTAGAATAATTGGAATATTAGACGTGAATTAAAATGAGCAAGATGGCTAGTCACCAATTATTTTGCCCAGAATGCACCTGCTCAACCACATGCAACCACATGGACAAAGAACTTAAGAGCAAACAGCCTAGTTACAAATCCATAAACAGCCCAGATATTGTATAAAGGGTCATACGCTGCAGACAACTCACAAATCTGTTTTGTTAAAGTTTACAAATATGCCTGGCAATAATTATAAGAAGGTATTTAAAATACCAAGGCAAAGAATTATTACCAAAGATGGAAAGTTTACAGTTCTGCTCTAATGTTAAAATTGTATGTAATGTTTATTTTCAAATTGAGAATTTGACCCTGTTTTGTAGTTTTACCTATTATACAATATTAAAACCATTTATAATCCTTATATTTAAAATAATAATGCATTTTTAAGTTTGTCATTGTCAGAGATCGTTTTAGTATCTATATAACCAAAATACATTCACACACAGGTTATTTCATAAAAGCAATGACAGTTGAGATGTGTTTACCTTAAGTAACTTTACAATGAACAGATTGTGGGCACATGGTAATGAGGCATGCTTAAAGGGAAATGGGCCGTGGCTTGGATTTAGCACCTGTGATGGTACAATGCATCATGAGTTTCACGAGTACTCTACTGAGACTCCTGAATTCCTTACAAAAACAGTTTTCCATTTGTCTTTCTCACATTCTCACTTGTGTACAATTAGATCGTTCGTCTTGCTAATAGATCATAATGTTGGGGGAGGAATGTAGAGGGAGCACACAGTTCAAAGAGGCCCAGGGAGAAAAATGGGAGCAATTTGCACTTTATTAAATGTAAGGTTTATACAGACATCTAAACCACCAGCATTAACGTGGAGATGGCCCACACAAGTTGATGCTGAACTTTACCAGCAATACCATACTTTGTATTTCTCAATAAACTAAATGGCACCCAAGCTTACCTGTTTATCCAGGAACTCTCGAGCATCCTTCTCAATATGACCCTCATAAAGATTGGTAGTCATGCTCATTAGTCCCACCTTAGATAATCCAAAATCTGTCAGCTTTATGTGCCCCATGGAGGTAACCAACAAGCTATGAGGCAGAAGGACATATAACACATTAATCACTTCATAAGCTGGTTATCTATTTTAGTTTCCCCTCTACCCCTATCCATTTCTAAGACTATTTAATAAATGGGCATCAAGCTTATTATAAAACCCAGCCCGGAAAGAGATGAAGTCACACAAAGATGTCAAATACTTGCATCTAGCAGCTGAGTGTAATTCACAAGGGAGGGCTAGAGACAAGGCATAGCTAATCTTTGTTGAAGCAGCCACATACAGCATCGTTTATAACACTTTGAAACTCTTAGAAAAATTCAAGTATAAAACTCTGATCCCTTTCCATTTTCATAAAAAGAAAATAAAAAAGAAAGGGCATACACCAGGAACTAAGTAACTTATTTGTTATTCAAACGAGACATAAGATAAAGAAAAACAGGCAAATATTATATTGTTTCAGATTTCAACTTCCAGCTCTAATTTAAATTTCTACTTATTAAGCACAAAACCTATATTTCCTACACATGCAAAGAATCTGCAACTGAATATATTTAAAACCTTTCATTTTAAGTGGAAAAATAAAATTTTAAAATAGTATATATAGTATTGCAGTAATTTGAAAAATAAAAGAATAGAGATATTTTTTAAAAAAAACTACTGGATGGAAATATCTCAAAATTTTAATAGTTGTCTTTGGTAATATTGTGGATACTGTTTTTGGCTTTTTTTTTCCCCCTGAATTTTTCAAATATTCTGGAATGAACTTGGGTCAACTTTATCGTAAACGTTTCAGCACACTTAAAGTCTTTACATATTAATATGTAATGTTTTCAGAGGCATTCAAATTATTGGAGAAGGCATGAAATATTTAATAAATGGTGTCAAGATGAATAGCTAGTCATCTGGGGAAAAAAGTCTATCTCAAATCAGACACCAAAATGAATTTCACATAAATTAAACATTAATAAAAAATTAAATTGTGAGTAAAACAGAATGTAGTATCAAGCATTTCATCTTGGAGTAGGAAAGAGTAATCTAAGTATGACATCAAATAAAGAAACTATCCAGAAAACAACTAGTAGCATTCTATGAAGCTATTATCACATTTACATCATTTTTAAAACTTTAAAAAAATTAACTCTGGCTTTATCGTTATCTTTTTCTCTTGTTGCTGATAAGTTATTAATACAAGCATCATTGGGGGTGAGGAGCTAGGGGAGGGATAGCATTAAGAGAAATACCTAATGTGGATGACAGGTTGATGGGTGCAGCAAGTCACCATGGCAATTGTATACCTGTGTAACAAACCTGCACGTTCTGACCTTCTGCACATGTATTCCAGAACTTAAGGTATAATCATAAAAAAATATATATACACATCATATCCTTTTTTCCATGAGTTTCCTGAACTTCACATAAGGATATCCTTTAAAGGTTTACATAAAAATTACCATATATATTGTTAAAACAACTCATTTTGGACATTATGTATGGAAGAATTTTAAACTGTACATTGCATTAAAAGAAAACATCTTTATAAACATACAAAAACTTTGTATTGGGCAAAAGAAGACATATATTTGATTTGTGTACATACTTGTCTGGTTTCAAATCCCTGTGTACGATTCCATAATTATGTAAATATTCCAAGGCCAAGACTGTCTCAGCAAAGTACATTCTGGCCATATCAACAGGGAGAGGACCCATGTTTTTCATTAAAGTAGCACAGTCTCCCCCTATAACACAGGAAAAAGAGTTAGTAGCTACAGCATCAAGGCTTAATGAAGACCATCAGTTTAGACTACAGAATTTCAAGGTGAAATCATCTCTACTCACAGCATATCATAGTCATAACTAGAGTCTGTGTGCTAACCTATCATGTTTCTAACTAAGCTATGGTATGGAGAAGATACAGATTTTTATTTAAGAAGTAGTATTCATAAGAGAGAAGGTTTGGCTCTGAAGTGAAACTGTACTTTGAAGAACTGCTAGCATAATTTTAGGATTATGGTAACAATTTAAAATATACCAGCATAAAACATGGATTCTAGAATCACACTACCTGAGTCCAAATTCTAGCTCTGCCTCTTACCAAGCTATTCTTGGTTTCTTCATCTGTAACATGAGGATGGTAATAATGTCATCCTTGTTAGAATTCTCATGAGAAGAAAACGAGATAATCTATATAAACAACTTAGGATATTGTCCAACACATATCACATATTAAATATGTGATAAATGTTAGTTATTGTTTTTGTTAAGATAACAACAACAGAGTTTAAAAAGGGCAAAATATTGGTGTGGTAGAAAGAACACTGGGCGAAAAAAAGGCAAGCTATGTTTTTGTCTTTTATCTACCACTCAATATCTAGTAAGTCTTCCTTTCTTGGACTTTATTTCACTCATCTATGAAATGGAAAGATTAAACTAAAAGGATATCTAATGTTTCTTTGAGTTTCACAGCTTTGGGATTCTGTTCAGTGACAACAGCTTAAGTTATTCATCTTAACTTTATGTCAACAAGTCATGGTCACTTGAACTCATAAACGTAATGTAAAACTGATAAAAATAAGATTACTGGGAGCATTGAAAAGGTAGACCACAAGCCTCTTAAAGAAAGAAAGAAAAAAGCTGCAAATCAGGAAGACTGGGTGCATTTTCTTGAATGCATCTCCTTTTCCCTTTTATTTCATACCATAGACTGAAAAGAATATATATTTAATTCTTTCTGTAAGAAGACTAATTGTGATGAGTACTTTTATATGTAATAAAAATAAGTAGAAAAAAAAATCCCATCACCTATATTCCAACTTTAATGACCAATTGAGAGGAGGTAGTTAGGATTAAAAACTATTAAAAAAGATAAACAACCTTTTTCCAGAGAGCACTAATTTTCCCTTTGTTACAGTAGAGCAGGCACTTTACAAGCAATTATCAGAAGATAATGACTGGGAATGCAGCCATCTCATTGCCTGGATTCAGTTCCTAGGTGGATACAGCCATTATGTGGCACAAATACAGAAAGCTTCAACAACACAAATGGGCAAGGGATTTCTGGGTACAGGTGTCGTGTTCTCTGTGCCCAATACTGATATACCTTCCACATACTCCATGACCATGCAAAGGTGGCGCCTTGTTTCAAAGGAGCAATACATGCTGACAACAAAGGGGTTTTCTGCGAAAGTCAGGATATCTCGTTCCACAAAGGCCTGCTGGATCTGGTTTCGAAGGATGAGGTTCTGTTTATTAATCTTCTTCATGGCAAACCTCTGCCGGGATTCTTTATGCCGAACAAAGTAGACTGCCCTGAAAAGGAGCACAAGTATTGAGGTTGGCAGGAACAGAGAAAGTAAGGATGTTTTTGGGATACAGTAAACCATGTAAATTAACTCTTTAAAAGTTCCCATGGCAGGTGGAATTTAGCTCACACAAGCTGGCAGCTACAAACATCCCATCCCAGGCTAAGCTCCTTTGGCTAGATTGATTTTTTTTTTTTTCAAATTCTTTCAATTAAAGGTCAAGGGTCATATTCAGGCATCACATTCATCTTCACTGGTGAAGAAAGGAAATGAGCAGTCCCCAGAGTGAGGTATTTCCTAATAGGTAGCTGAGCTGACATTTTCAGTTTCTCCACAAACACATCAAAATCCAATATGTAAGTCAGAACAGGAAAGAATTAGCTTTTTTTTCTTTTTGGGATGAAGTCTTGCTTGGTTACCCAGACTGGAGTGCAGTAGCACGATCTCGGCTCATTGCAATCTCCGACTCCTGGGTTCGTGCGATTCTCCTGCCTCAGACTCCTGAGTAGCTGGGATTGCAGGTGCACACCACCATGACCAGCTAATTTTTTGTGTGTTTTTTAATAGAGATGGAGTTTCACCATGTTGGCAAGGCTGGTCTCAAACTCCTGACCTCAAGTGATCTGCCCTCCTCAGCCTCCCAAAGTGCTAGGATTATAGGTATGCACCACCATACCCTGTCCCTAAAGCAATAATTTTCTAAATGATACCCTTGGGATCTGCAAAAATAACCTATAGCTTTTTAGAGTATCTGGCTTCCAATTTAGAATAATTTACTTCCAGTGAAATTTCCAGATAAATAAGAAGTATGTGACACATTATATGGGGCTGTTCTGCAACAAAGGGTAACATATTTCCTCACTGCAGTCCTCAGCACTGCTACCCCCATGGCTGTTTCAACAGGAAAGGCACTTCCTGGCATAACAGGAGGCCAGTGATGGAGCTGCATTTCTGTTCTCTCAGACCCAAAGTCAAGGTGTCAGGGAACTTTACTACCAGACCAGGTGGCACTTGATTTCTGCCTAAAGTCTCAACAATACTTTATAGAGCCAATTATGTCTGGGTAAAGACAAGGGACCCACTGAGGCTTGGGGTAATGTAAAGATAAGAACTAGAAAGAGGAGTCTTAAAAGCTCATCTGGAAATGACGAGCAACAAGGAACATGTCTTAGATGGGCTCCTTCCTCACAAGTCCTCCTCAACTGTTAATATCATCGGAGAACAAGTTTGAAATGTCTAATGATCAAACAAGAAATAATTTGCCTGAGGAGCCGCCAATCACAGTAAAGTTTGTCCAGTGCCCACCTTATAAAACAGGGGGTATGTGATCTGAGATGCGTTTTCTACTAGTTACTTAACTGTCCCTGAGCAAGGACTGCAAGGGGGCCTAGGACACCCTATGCTTCTGCTCTATCAGTATATCAGGGTGATTCACCAAAATAAATCTCAAGCATATTCAATCCCAGTTTAGTCAACATTAACATTTTCCCTTAAGTATTCAGCTAGGAATTACTTTTTCTTTCATATATGTGTATCTTTATCTCTGTCTTCCCATCATGCTCATCTTTTTCCTTCATTTGGCATATTATACATCTACATTTTTGTCTCGGTCTAAACATTATTATTATCATTTTGCTTTGCTCACATTTTTCTTCTCTTCTCATTTCTTTTGTTTTCGAGTTCTTCCTTCACCGTATAGTAAAAAGCTCTCTTAACCACACTCCCCATAATCAATCCACCGAATGATCCAGTGCTGCCATTCCCACTATAAACCAGCAAGCTGGGTGCCCAACGTTTTCTACGCTGACTGGTAATCCTCTTCAGGATAACCAGAGCCTTGGGCTCTCACCATTCTGAGGGATTCCCACATCTGTTCTGCTGGCTAGATTTGATATTAAGATTAATTTAAACAAATACTTAAGCTGATGAAACACGAGTATAAAAAGGGAAAGGACTGTTTAACAAAAAACTAAACAAATTTTTTAGAAAGTCTTAATAAATTTGAGTTACTAAATAAAATCCTTGTTGATTTAATGTGGGTGACAAGATTTGCAAAAATTGAAAAAAATAACAAAAATCTAGATTCCTACATTCATATTGCTTCAGGTTTTTGTTTCACCATTAAAGCTAAAATTGGAAAACAGAAACAATGTATTGTAAGTCTGGTTCATATTGTCTTTCTTGAAAAGATTTTCCATCAAAAGACTGGAAATTTACATATATTTCGGTTAAATTAAAATGTTTAAAATACGTGACTTTTAAAAGTTATTTCCTACTTTGATCAACTTTTAAATTAAACAGCCAACTACAGAGTTGCTCCTAATCAGATGATGGTAGCAGGACAGAGATACAAAGGAGCACAGGAAATAACCTGGCCATCCCTTAAACAGAAGATAAACATTGATAAACAAATGTTTTTCAAACAGGGAATACATATTTTAAAATGAAAGCAAGAATGTAAAATACTGACAGGGAGGAACCAGTATCTTTCCGTTATAGCTTGCCTATTCTCGAGAGTCAATTGGCATGCAGCTTACTTTCTATCTCTTCCTTCAATATTTGGTTTGGAGTAAGTTTAGTGCTGAGGAGCCTTAGACATAGATTATGAATTTCACAGATGCTCACTAGGTGGCTATTCTGATTTTCAACTGAAAATCACCATTTCTTACATAAACAACTGCTCTGCAATATGTTTGAGAAAAGGAAGTGAAGGAAGAAGAATGGACTTATACATGATTTTATGAAAGAATAAAAGACAAATATGCCTCAGGCCCAATTTGACCAGCATCCTGACTGGGTCTCTGTGGCACTCAGATTTTTCAGTTCATAAAATTTTGTTTGACATTCTGCTTTCCCTTGCTATGATGTGCTTAAAATAACCAGTTAATCCTTGGGACCAATTTAAAAGAATCTTACAGGTAGCTTGAAATATCACTGCCTCAGGACATGCATGTCTTGATCAAGTAACAGAGGTCAGACTTCCTAATTAGAATTAGTTGTAGGTGGATTTTCTGTTTGCTTTCTTGTCTGTTTTTGAGTTTTTACATTTCTGTATTGCTTTGGGAATATTATTCGTCATGTTGAAATTTGTTTATTGAGTAATAATTGTTGCCTCTCACATATACCTTTCCTCTTTTAAGTTGATGTTCCCAATCTGCTTAAAGTTACCAAAGTGAGAGAGAGAGACAGAGAGAAACAAGGAGAGATATGACAGCCAGGCATATAACACTGTTAAGTGGACTGGAAAGCTTCCAGTGTTAAAAGTTGCATTGAACCAATATGGCTTCATGTTTCTTCTCTGCTTTCTGGTCCCAGAGGTTGTGCTTTCTTTGAAGAGGCTGCTTCTGCCTCTCTTCCTACACTGACCTCCCTGTGAAACAGGAAAACCCAAGGGTAGAAGGTGGGGGGCGGGGAAGAGGTAACCAACAACCCTAGTACTCTCCGAGCCAAGCTTCTCCCCACGCATGCAGAACTGAGATGTGGGAGGGTGGAGCAGAGTGGAACTAGAAGCTGACAGGATCTGGAGCAGAATGAATCAGGCCTATTGTGAGCATGAATGTCTAGCGTGTATAAAATTATGCACGACTCTGAGAGCCCAATACGTGACTCGGTGCTAGCAAATCTCCACGTAGGAACGAGGGTGTGTGTGCCAGAGGACAGCTGAGAGAAGGGCTACAGGGAGAGCATGTGGGAAATGGGACGTATGCCACTTGCGCACATGGGCCTCTCTGGGACATGTCCTGGGCCCCTTCACAGGTAACAGAGAATCATGTGTACCAGGATTAAAAGGAAAGGAAAAGTGAGGAAGAAATGGTGGGCCTTTCAAATTTAGTTTTTTACTTTTAAAATTTTAAGTCAATTTTATTCTTTTACTCTGAAAACACCTGAAGTTATGACTTAAAGATCTTGGTGGAAGTACTCACTGGAAGAAGTAGGACATCTACACCCCAATTAGTATGGCTAAACATTTTCACAAATGGATACCTTACAAAGAGAAGAGAGCTCCTCTTAGAATCAGGATATCTATGACTCTATCTCCGGGCCTCTCGTTTCCTACATGTGAGTGGAAATAATATCAACTACCACACAAGGGCTCTGTGAGAAGGGAACGTACATAAAGAAACCAGTGCAGTGCCAGGCACACGGCGCCAGCTTTCTATAAAGCACTAAGTTGGCAAAAAGGCACATTTCACTTCCAGTCAGCGAAATGTTCTGTTCTGTTCCAGATCAGAGGCATGTTAAACAGAGAAGGAAATCAGATGTTTATCAAATTGGCTTTATAACATGAATTTTCACCAAGTATGATGCTGAGAAAGCCATGTGTGTTTTAGCACTACAGATAGAAACCCTTCCTAATGACAGGGTTAGTTCCCAGCTGCAGCAATTTTTGAGGCATCATGGCATGGGTGTCTCTCTGAGCCACTGATGTGAGTGGCAGACCCTGTACGTGGATACCTAAGAAAGCCTCTAGAAGCCCAGTTCAGCCACCTGTAGTGGATACATTTGTTCAGCCAGTTCCCATAAGCCTACAATCAGCCTCACTGACTGGGTGAAACAACAGGGGTAGTTCCATTCAAATTTCAAATTAAAGATTATTAAAATGTAGAGAAAATCTATCAGAAATATAATGAGAGATTAAATATGAGAAGAGAGAAGGAGAAAAAAAAGAGTTTTGGCTGATCAGCAGAGGCTCCCACAGGCAGCTTGTGAGTCCATTAATGACTTGGCCTGCATCCTGGGTGTTTACTGATTCACAGCTTGTTGAACTTCTTGTATATTCCCAACTACTCCCTAAAGTGTGATATACCTCATCTACTATGCAGTGGTTTAATTGCACTACAAATGGGTTTACTCAACCGGTTAGAACTCCAAATACTGCTAAGATAGATGCCCGAATTTTTAAAAGCGGTGCTTCACAGATAATCTTATTCCAGAATTCCACTGCTAATAAAATCTGGCAGTGCTCAAACCCATACACCCATTAAATCAAAGTTTAATCTTCTCCCTAATGAATAAAGAAATCTCCAAGTCATTTCCAAAAGTGTAAAGAATTAAAAAACAAATGATAAGCAAATAGGAACCACAAAGAATTGCATGCTAGAACCATCTTCCTAGATAGAAAAGTTTCAATTAAGTCCTTGAAAAATAAAATACTGCAAAAATACAACATCAGAAAGCATTTATGAGCCACAACAGGAAATATGGTATTTGACATATCCTGAAAACAAATCAGTGAAGCATAGAAGGGACTCACAAATATTTAAGTTCCTAAGTTAATGGTGTGGAAAATATTTGAGGTGAAAAAATGGTAACAGAAACATCCCTTGTGGCACAACAAAAACCTCTTTTATTTCATCTGCTCATCTGTGTGGTAAATGGCAATAAATGTCTATGAGATTGTTTATTGCTCTTCATATACAGATGGAATTGGGATTAACACTTAATTAAACTAGAATTCTTGGGCTATCTAAAATGGATCAGGTCATAGTTTGTGCATTAATTACCTTCTAAACTATTAGTAACTCAGATGGATCTTGTCACTATTTACTGCCACAAGGAGGAAACTGTGCGTCTATAAAAATGGATCAAGGAAGGAGCACTATTAATATGATTAGATTAGAACATACAGTTCAATTTTGAAAATCCTAGTGTAGGAGTTAGAAGCTGCAGTGGGTAAGCTATGACTGCACCACTGCACTCCAGCCTGAGGGACAGAGCAAGATCTTAGGATGGTGAAAAAAAAAAAAAAAATAAATAAAATAAAATAAATTAAAAAAAAGACAAAATTAAAAAAAAATTGTGGTAATAAAAATAAAGACTAAAAGATTGCTAAACCTTTTAATTTAATTTAAACTAAAATTGCTCTTAATCAAACTTGTCCAACCCTCGGCCACGGAGCTGCATGCAGCCCAGGATGGCTTTGAATGCCGACCAACACAAATTTGTAAACTTTCTTAAAATATTATGAGTTTTCTGTGATTGTTGTTGTTGCTGTTCATCACCTGTTGTTCATGTTAATGTATCTGATGTGTGGCCCAAGACAGTTCTTCTTCCAATGTGGCCCAGGAAAGCCAAAGGATTGGACACTTCTGCTCTAAACTTTCAACCAGGCTTATTTAAAAACATTTATCTTAAGGTTGTCTGCTGGTCAGACAGGAAATACAGGCTGTCATGTAGTAATACCATATAGAAAATTATAAATATATGATTATATATAATACGGTATTTAATATATACATATATATCTCAGTCAAGAGTCAGGTACTTCTTTTAACCCAAAAGGGCAAAAACAAAGGGGGCAGAAACAAGAGTAAACAAAATTTTTCGTTTCAAGTCTTCCTCTCCAACCCTCTAAAGTAACTCCTTGGTCATGTGGCATGGTTTCTGATGAGCTGTCCAGTAAGAAGTGATTTCGGCTGCACAGCACAAGCCTCAGGGAAGCAGCAGTGATCTAAAAAGTCAAGTCCCTATACAGCATCTATTTGGCCTTAGATAAATGTGAAGAATAAATACATTACTTGAGTGTGTAGAAATACAACAGAGAGCTTTTCTTGAATTACTCACCCATAGGCTCCATTGCTAATCAATTTAATCGTTTCAAAATCACTTTCCCGAGGTTTTCTTCGAAGTTTCAGGGAGGCATTAGAGCTCTTGGAAACAAAATATGGACGTTAAAAGGTAGTCTAGAAGAAAATTATTTTATCAGCAAAATAGATACTACTTGAATTACATGCTGTATTACGTAGTATGTTGAAGTACAGTATTCCAGCCACAGGAACCTGAGGGACAGTTTACAGAGCCATCATCCACAGCAATGCCAACAAACTCCTTGTGACATTGTCACTTAGGCAAATCCACATTTCCAGGCAACCAGGGACAATTTCTGATTTTAATTTTGTAAACTACTCAGGATGGTCTTGTCCTACTCTTAACATTTTGAGATTTAACTCCAAAATGCCAAACTTTCCTTTTGGTTTCAGTCAGCCAGAAAAGAATGGGCTGCAGTGACTCTACATGGGGCTCCATCCCTCACATAGCATGTCTCTTTCATTCCTGTGGCAATCTTCATTGCTCAGAAAAGTAGTAGGCAACGCATGGAACACCCAAGTATAGAATGCCTGCCTTTCTCTACTTCCATGCCATAAATTTAACATGGCTAACAAAACAAGTTTCAAAAAGACAGCTCTTCAAAAAGTTTAGCTCAAAGGATACGAACAGAAAAAATGCTTCAAAAAAATTCTCTCGTGCCCCATTTATCTTAGTCTGGAGAGGGAGTTACCAGCTCTTTGCTCCCCTGTGCAAGGGTCCAGAATTCCCTTCCTATTGTTTAGAAGAAATGTCATCATCCTCAACTCAGTACTGTCATTGCTGACCCTGTCATCCCACTCGTTTTTAGAAGACTTGGCTACCCATCTTCCTCTCTGCCCAAGAGCTCTCTATCCAGGGTGACTTCAGTGTCTACAAAGATAACCCACCCAACACTCTGGCCTTGGGGCTATGTGACTTCTTCAATCCAAAACATCTGTCTCCTCTAGACTTCAAGACTGGAACCACTTACTTGTTCAGTCACTTACTATTACTCTTTTAATTTTTTATTCTTTTTTTTTTTTTCCTACTTTGTACTGGCTCAGAAGGTAATTCACTCACTATGACTGCTCCTTCATGGCTCTGGATTGCAAGGCTCTGTACAAGGCTCTCTAATCTCATTAACTCTTCCCTACCTGAGTGATCTTATTTATGTTCATGGATGGCTCCTAAGTCACTTCGACTTCTACCAGAAACTCCCTCTGAGTGTCAGTTGCCAGTTTGATGGATCTTCTTGCATGTTTAAAAGGAACTTTAGTCTTGATACATTCAAAATTATGAATCAGATAATAAAATTAACAATAACAGCTATCATTTATTTAGCACTTACTATGTGATACTGTCCTAACCGTTTTACATAAAAATCTCATTTACGCTTTTATAAACAAGGAATCTGGGGCACAGAGAAATTTCCCCCATCCCCCAGCTAGTAGAAAGCAGAGTATCTTCAAATCCAGGCAACCTGACCCCAGAGCCTGAGTTCTTATCCCCCAGGATACACAACCTGCTCTTGCTTTCCTAACCCCTAATCTGCTCCATTGTGGTTCCTCTTTCGGTGTTCACAATTAAGGAGAATGGCACCAGCATCCAGAGCCTCTCCCCTATGCCACTGCAGCAGCCTCTGAACTGGCTTCGACATGGTCACCCCTCCCTCATTCTCCCACACCACGGTTTTCTGCACTGCAGTCAGTGTGATTTTGTTCAATCCATAGCTCTGATTGTGTTACCTCCCTGTCCACTCTTCCCACCCCCATATATCCATACATCTCCTCCAAAGTTCAATCACTTCCCACTGCTCTTAAAAAACAAAAACAAAACACCTGACAAACATGAAAAACAGGGACCTTAAGCATCCAGTTTTTACCCAAGTGCTCTAGTTTCTCCTGTCTCCCTTGCTCTTAGTCTTCTGATGTACCCTGTGGATGTTCCATTTATCCCTTCTTACCCTAGTAATCTGTTACACTGAGCTCAAGTGCCATTTCCTTGGGAAATTTTTGGGGACTGGACAGACTATGGCAAATATCTTTATGTTATATTCTAGTAGTATGTGGTCTTTTTTCTTCGCAGATCTTATTCCTATTTATCATTTCTATTTTTGCATGTGATTTTTTATTAAGTTTTGTTTCTTTTTGAAGGAAGGGGCTAAAATTGTATGCTTACTGTCTGACACAGTGCCCTCCACATAGAAGCATAATAAACATTTGGTGCATAAATAAACTAACACAGCCAAAATCTCCAGATGCTAAACAGAAAAACCAACATCATATTTCACCAGGAAAGATACTTACACTCACTGATTCATCTGTTTCTGGTGTTTCTGCTGTCCCACTATCGTAGTTTCCCAACTGAGCCATTTCTAAGTTTAAAAAAGAAAGCCAGTAAAGCTTTATAAAAATATCACGATTGGATAAGAATACTAAGCTGAAACAAAAGAAAAATAATTTTTCCCATATTAAACAAACTGCTCTATACTCCAATGTGTCCATGGAAAAATCTTAAATCTAAAAAGAGGCAGCAATTGGTATTTTGAAATTGTTCATTATATACCCGTCGCTGGAAGCCCATTTCTTGCAAACACCTAGACATAGGAACTTTAGAGGCTGGGCATAGGATCTCATTGGCTGATGCAATCACCACAGCTTGGAAAGGCTTCAGTAGGTCAACATCTCTGCTTAGAATCAGGTATCTGAGACAAGCAAGTCTTTCCAGGCTCTGGCAGGCATCAAAGAAGCACTGACTACAACTAGGGAATGATTCTTAAGTTGTGGTGCTTATCTCTTGTTCCATTCCTTCATATCCACTGAGAAATACCCTGCCAAAGACACTAAGAATTTGTCAGAGAGGAAGTAATAATGGTGGTTAAGAGGGATTTGGAGGTTAAAAGACTTAGGTTACCACTACTATCTGCACTTACTGACTGACCTTTAACTTCAAGCTCTTCCCTTGTAAAATGTAAACAATGTGACTTACTTCGTAGAGCTTTTTATGAGTACTGTATGTGATAATGCATGTTAAGCTCTTAGCATACTGACTAAAAATTAAGAGCTCATTAAATGTAGATTTATGGTCTTGGAGGTCAACTAAAATGTATCCAGTTGGAAGGGCTCTCAGACAAAGGGGCAAAAATTTGTAGTGTTTAAATAAAATAGCAACAGCAGCTAACATCTATTAAACACTTACTATGCTAAGCAATTACAAAGACAAACATATAATCCTCAAAACAATCCTATAAATAAATGCTATTATTATCTCATTTTTATGGAAGAACTAAGGCACAAAGAGGTGCATCAAATTGGATGGTCAAGGTTCACATATCCAAAGCAAAACAACATTGGAGTATTACCTTTAGATAAAAATTTATAAATTCTAGATTCTGGAATTACTGGGCATTGAGCATGCAGTGCTGGCTCAGGGTGCAAACCTGGGCAGCCCAACTCCAAAACTCCCAATTCCTAACCTTCAAAAGATAGGCCTAAGGCATATTGGTTTAGATGCTTACAAGAAAGGGAGACAAATGTAGAATAATCCAAGTTTTTAATTGTTTATTTACTTATTTATTTATTTCTAGGAGTTTTGTTCCGTCGCTCAGAGTGGAGTACAGTGGCACAATCTTGGCTCCCTACAACCTCTGCCTCCCAGGCTTGAGCGATTCTTCTGCCTCAGCCTCCCAAGTAGCTGGGACTACAGCCATTCGCCACCACGCCCAGCTAATTTTTATATTTTTAGTAGAGATGGGGGTTCACCATGTCAGCCACGCTAGTCTTAACTCCCGGCCTCAGGTGATCCACTCATCTTGGTGTAATTTTTTTTTTTTTTTTTTTAGACGGAGTTTCACTCATGTTACCCAGGCTGGAGTGCAATGGCGTGATCTCGGCTCACTGCAACCTCCGCCTCCTGGGTTCAGGCAATTCTCCTGCCTCAGCCTCCTGAGTAGCTGGGACTACAGGTGTGTGCCACTATGCCCAGCTAATTTTTGTATTTTTAGTAGAGACAGGGTTTCACCATGTTGACCAGGATGGTCTTGATCTCTTGACCTCGTGATCCACCCGCCTCGGCCTCCCAAAGTGCTGGGATTACAGGCTTGAACCACCGCACCTGGCCGGTGTAATTGTTTATTAAATTACGTGGAAAAGTCATATTTCAAATGTTAACAAACAGATTAAAAACTAGCCTCAGGGCCAGGTACAGTGGCTTGAGCCTGTAATCCCAGCACTTTGGGAGGCTGAGGTGGGTGGATCATCTGAGGTTAGGATTTCAAGACCAGCCTGGCCATTATGGTGAAGCCACATTACAACTAAAAATACAAAAATTAGCTGGGCATAGTGGCACACACCTGTAGTCCCAGCTACTCAGGAGGCTGAGGCAGGAGAATCACTTGAACTCAGGAGGTGGAGGTTGCAGCAAGCTGAGATGGCACCACTGCACTCCAGCCTGGGCAACGGAGTGAGAAGTTTAAAAAAAAAAATAACAAAAGCCAAAAACTAACTTCAGATCATAAATTAAGGGTCAACAGTTAAAAAATAACACAATTCCCAGTGATTAAACTCTGAACTTGTCAAAAGTCACTATTCATTTTTTTTAGAGCCTCTATAAAGATAGTTTATACATGGGCCTCAAGTTATTCACCTACCAAACTTCAGCCTACCGTCATAGCTATTGCCAGGTAAGAAAACTAAAGAGCTCACTTGGTCTACGATTCAAGAGCTGACTCAATCTTAACTACGCCGGCGTGAAGAGTCACTGTAATCTACTTTGACAGCCTCCCCCACTCCAACTATTTTCATAAAAAAAAACAAATTAAAAGATGGCTCTGTTTTAAATAGAATTTCTGCTAAGTAACTATTATCTGAGAAATACTTATTATTTGTAAGCAGTGGGTAGTAATGGAATGGAACCAAGAGTCAGCTTTTGAAGCAGGAAGCTAAGGCATCATTTTGTAATGCCTGAAGTGATTTTTAAAACTCATCTAAATACCATTAAACATCTGCCCTTTTTATTTCATTGATTTAAACCATTTCTGAAGACTCATGATTCAAAAAGGTAAAGATGGTAATTTAAAAGCCACGGGGAAAAATCTCACCCCAGGGAACTTTTCAGAAAAGCAGCCACCAGTCTCTGATAAGTGATGAATCTGTTGTGGAATTGCTTTCAGTACAGTATAAATTTATCTGGCATTATCTCACAGTAATGCATGCATCATTTCACTGGAAGCAAAGATATGATGGCCATAGGAGCAAACAAAGCCGGGAAACTGGAGAGCAGGGCAGAGAGCAGCAGGTTTCCTGGCTTCAATGGGAAAATCTCTGTGACAACATTTACCACCATTACAAACAATTTAACAAGATAAACACTGTTTGCAAATTCAATTTAATGAACCAGGAAGACAATGTTGAATGAAGGAGTCAATGATAGTTTTGAGTCGTTTTGGGGAGTATGTAACCTAAATGTTACAAATGATAATCCTAAATCATCATGAACAGGAACAGGTTGTGGAGGGAGTGTTTTACCTATATCAGATTTTTCAAAATTCACTAGCAGGATGCTTCCTATTCTCTGTATTTAATTTAATAATTTTATTTTAAAATGTGAATCAACCATAAATCCTTTTTGTATTTATTTTTTTGAGGCGGATCTCATAGTCTCACTCTGTAGCCCAGGCTGGAGTACAGTGGTGCCATCTCGGCTCACTGCAACCTCTGCCTCCTGGGTTCAAGCAATTCTCCTGCCTCAGCCTCCCAAGTAGCTGGAATTACAGGCACACACCACGATGTCCAGCTAATTTTTGTATTTTTAGTAGAGATGGGGTTTCGCCATATTGGCCAGGCTGGTCTCAAACTCCTGACCTCGTGATCCGCCTACTTTGGTCTCCCATAGTCCTGGGATTACAGGCGTGAGCCACTGCACCCAGCCTATAAATCCTTTTATAAGTTAAAAAAACATTTTTATAGACTCTCCTCTATATAACTTTTTTATACTTTAAGTAAACAAGAATATACCTATGAATACTGTATTCAATTTAAAGTAATCTACCATCTATTACATTACTTCCAAATTAAAATGTCAGTTTAATTAATGATAATTTCTTTAGCAACATTTTAAAAATTAAAAGTACTCTCAAGAAGAGCCCAACTGAGCTCTGCAAGAGAAAAACTACTTAGTGAAGACTGAAATCGAAACCCTTCTGGGACACTCTGGCATTCTCAGGCTGACAGGCTTCTAGGATGTCAAGGCCCGAACCACACTCTAAGCAGACACAAAATGGGCCATGCTCATTCACGTCTCAGGACCCAACTTATGGCTATTTTCTTCAAATAGCAACCAGTCCCCAAATATGGACTTTTCAACAGATAGAGCCAAAGCATAAGGAAAAATAAAGATCTGCCACTTAGATTTCTTCTATGAGGCAACAGTACATAAACAAAGTCAAAGGTAGGACCAGTCCAGGGACTCACCTTCCAAGGGATCCTTATTGAGTCCTAGTTGGCTAATGATGTACCTGGGAATGTCAGTTTTAATACCCTGTCCTTCTTTGGCATGGCCTTCTGCTGCTTCCAATAGGTAGTAAAATTCTTCTGGATCAAACTCCTAACGGAAGACAAACACAGATGGATACTTCTTTCAGCCAAAATTGTCTGAAGTTTTAGTACATAAATCCCATTCACAATAAAACTGCTGGATATACACAGCTTTAGGTTACTTACACAGAAAGGAGGCAAATGGCTTTAAAAAGTATGTAATTCTCACTTCATATTTGAAGTCTATTCATATTCTAAGCCAAAACATTTATGTACTTGATAACCCAAAGATACTGATCATTTCTAATTTGTTTGTGATTCAACTATGAAGGCACTATGCTCCACTTAAGATCTATCTCATCAGAAATGAACAGGTCTGATTTTTAATTGTGCCTTTCTAGCAAAGTTATAAAATCTGGGAATTTCCATCCAGAAGATTTGAGATTCAATTTCTCTCTCCACTCAACCAGCAACAAAAGGATTGTTAGAATACATTTACTCAAAAATGCTGCAGGAAACTCTCTTAATATAGAAGTATCCAAAAACATCAGAAAGAAAAACTTCAAAGATACCATTTTTTATTAGTTACCTATAAAATTAAGTTACTACTATTCACATAATGTAAAGACCAAGAAAGAAAAATAGGAAATTAAAGCCTCTGTCTTCTATAAAATTTTGGGAATATATTTTTCCTATTTAATGTGTGTGTGTGTGTGTGTGTGTGTGTGTGTGTGTGTGTGTGTGTGTCTGTTGCTTCTAGCATGTAATAAAAATCTTCAGAATCGCCACACTCCAGAGATGAATGCTGTGATACTATCAAATGTATTTTTGGTCTTCATCCTGTTTTCTGAAATACCACTCCTGAAACCCTTGGAATATCCAAAGTAATAAGTGGCTTTGTGTACTCTAGTGACTTGACTGGTGGCTGGGCACTCCTGGGTAAGTCTCTGGAAGAGGGCAGGTTGTCTGGGGAACCTACCATAGGATTAGAGGGTTAGGAGTTGCAGCCCTATCCTCACCTCCACTTCAGAGAGGGGCTGAAAGTTAAGTGGATCAAGAAGGGCCAATGATGTCATCAAACACGCCTATGTAATGAAGCTTCCATAAAACCCAAAAGGACTACATTTGGGGAGCTTCCGGATAGCTGAACGTGTGGAGTTTTCTGGAAGGTAGCGCACCCATGGAGCTTTGCACTCCTTTCCCCAAGCTTCACCCTATGCAGCTCATCATCTGCACAGTTTTTAATGTATTTCATAATAAACTGGTAAACCTCAGTGTTTCCCTGAGTTCTGTGAGCTGCTCTAGCAAACTAATCAAACCCAAAGAGGGGGTCATGGGAGCCTGGGTTTACAGCCAGATGGTGAGAAGCACAGGTAAAACAATGTGGAGCTTGCAAATGGCACCAGAAACAGGGGCACTCTTGTGGAACTGACCCCTCAACCTGTGGGATCTGACGCTATCTCTGGGTAGACAGTGTTGGAATGGAATTGAAGGACACCCAGCTGGTGTCTGCTGCAGAACTGCTTGCTTGCTTGTTGTGTGGGGTTCTCACACAACTGGTGTCAGAATCATGTTGTGAGACTATAGCAGGAGAAACCAAGTTTGTTTTTTTCCCTCTATGACCAAAGGGCATTTGCCAAAGGGCATAGATTTATGTGTTGTAAACAATTATGCTTATAGATTTAAAGCCCAGTTATCAATGTCAGTTATATTTCTTGGAATTTTTTTCCCCCAGGATCTTTCCCATTTTGATTAATGCTGGAAATAGGCAAGTTGGGAATCTCAGCATTTCACCTGAGAATTACTCAAGAGTTTCTAAAGGCCATATTAAAAAAAAAAACTTGCTGCAAATGGAGTAAAGTCAAACCAGTATAAATACTCAGTGCCTTTTACATACATAACTACTTCAGTGACTGACACTGTCAGTCTGGGTACTGCAGGGATAAGAATGGTAGGTTGGGGGAAGCATCCCCTAACACAATGAAACTCCACTTTCATCTAAGCTTTAAAGAGTACTTTGAAAGCAGCAATATTTCTAAGCTACTTCTAAGCTCATTCGTTTCTATCTTTGAGAAGCTATATTTTTTCTCCTCTGTTTATGAGTGATTACTGTAGAAAGTTAATTTCCTCCTTTAAAGCACAATCTGCTCTTAGCATATCTGCTGTTGTCCAGAAAAACAAGTTTTAATGCTAAATGACACTTTCCCCTAAATTAAACAACTGTGGGAAGTACCAACGTGTGGTCCCTAATTCAAAAGCTACAACAGGAGAGGCAGTAAAAAGTTAACTAACTCTTCCACCTGGATTTACTAGTCACCCAGTTCTCCCTGAGGCATCCAAGATATTTTTTTTCCTTTTAGCTTTCCAGAGACATTCAGTGTCAAATAGTGTCTTTAAGTCTGTGATTCTAAGGGTCCTCACCATTGATAAAAAGCCCTTTCCTACACCCCCCAATCCCTATCTTTCTTCTCAAGATTTTCTCTCTGTGTCTTACAAGGTGTTGATATATATTTGTGGTGTTGTGACTATTTCACCATTATAAACCATTATGGATGGTAGTTAAAATAAGGGCAAGACCAAAGCACTGCAACCATATACATACTATGTATGTGTGTGTGGATTTCTGAAAAGCTGTATGGTATGTGGTGTTACAGTTACCTTAATAGCCAGTGGAACTTAAAAGTGAGTTTTGATGCTATATTGCCTTATATTCAGTTAAAACTGTGAACAAATATTAAGCTGTGGACATAAGAATTATTTTATGTCCACAGCTTAATATTTGTTCACAGTTTTAAGTGAAACCTCAAATCAGAATTTCATAAAAACTTTTAAAAAGGAAAATGATCACTGACCAAAATGTATAATTATATTCCTTTTTTATTTTTATTTTTTATTTTTTGAGACAAGAGTCTCATACTGTCACCCAGAATGGAGTGCAGTGGCGTGATCTCGGCTCACTGCAACCTCCTCCTCTGGAGTTCAAGTGATTCTCCTGCCTCTGCCTCCTGAGTAGCTGCAATTATAGGCATGTGCCATCACACCTGGATAATTTTTCTATTTTTAGTAGAGATGGAGTGTCACCATGTTGGCCAGGCTGGTCTTGAACTCCCTGACCTCAGGTAGTCCATCCATCTTGGCCTCCCAAAGTGCTGGGATTACATGCATGAGCCACTGAGCCTAGCCAAAAATATATAATTGTCAAAATAAACTAATAATCTCTAAAAGTCTCATTCCTTCAGGTCTACATGAGGCTGTACTGTATTTTCCCAAATGGGGTGTTAGCCAGCACTTATTTTCTAACTTGCCACATTTTAGAGACAAATAATAATTATAATCACAGGTCACTATTTATCTCTGCATTCATCTCTATTCCTTCTTTGCATCTTGGCAACTCCAAAAAAGTGAGATACAGCAAGCATTTTAAATAAGCTATGACATAAAGTAATTATGCTAAGGTCAAGCATATTACTTCATGATTATATTTCAAGTTTGACTAGAATATGATATGACTGTCACTTAATACAGCAAAAGTCCTAGAAGTCTCTTTAAAATCAGAAAGGACAAGTCACATATCGATGTCATCATAAACATTCACAACTTGTAGTTCCCCTTGACTCTTTCCATTTAGCTCTGGTGTTTGAAACCAAATGAAGTTGGAGCTTTCTGATGCTTACTGCTGTCCCAGTTAACAATAAATAATACGGTCACATTGAGGGGCAACTTACCAGGCATTCTAATAACCGAGCAGGGCGGGCAATAACAATTAGGATCTTTCGAACTAGTTGTTTAATAAATGCCAACTCTCCACTTTCTGAACGATCATGAGCCTATGAAAAAGCAATAAAGAGAGTGATGATGCAGTTGCTCCACTAAATGGAAAAGAAAATCAGCAAAGCATGCTAATTAGATCATTGCAAATGCTAAAAAATCGAGTGATTTAGAAAATACTGTTAAAAGACTGACAAAAAGAACAGACATTATCTGTATATAAATGAACACCGTTAAACGCCTATATCTACAAAATCTTTCTATTAGATAAACCTTAATTGCAAAGCTCTGATAGATTATCTGTGCTAAAAATCAAATCAAAGGGCGCTTAATGTGAACCACGAACGAAGGAGACATTGAAAGTTTACGACACATTAAGCACATGGTACAAGTGGAGTAGGAAGCTGATCAAGAACCTTGATTTTCCAGATAGACCATCTTGGACATAAGAATGGCTAATACAGTGAAGGACTGCTTCTGTTATCCTGGACGCTTAACACATTCTTGAAATATATTTCACATATACAATATGATTCACCTATAACTTAGTTATATCATCACACCTAAGAAGTGTGCAATGCTTTTTTCAAGTGTTAGCTGGATAAAGTTTATACCAGTTGAGTATCCTCTATCCAAAATGCTTGGGGCTGAAAGTCTTTGATTGTTTTCAAACTTTGGAATATTTGCATATTCATAATGAGAAATCTTGAGGAGGGGATCCAAGTCTCAACACAAAATTCATATGTTTCTTGTACACCTAATACATACAGCCTGAAGGTAAATTTATACAATATTTTTAAAGAATTTTGTGCACTCATCACATGAGGTCAAGTATGAGAATTTCCACTTGTGTTATCATGTTGGTGCTTAAAAAGCTTCATATTCTAGAGCATTTTGGAGTTTGGATGCTCAATCCTATACCTGGGTATGTAAATGTGAATTCAGTCTCACACATTGAATAAATAATACCTAGGCACTTAACTTGGTAAAATTTAACTAACTTAAAATCTTTTAAAATTTTATTTTATATATTGCCCAAGCAAAATAAATATTCTGAGAGCAAAGCTGTTTGTTAATAGTCATTTACATTTTCAATAATATTTTCTGGAAAAAAATCAGATAAATCTATATCAAGACAGGCATAAAACAAATTTTAGAGGTTTTAATGTAAACTTCTCTGTATGTTCACTTTTAAGCTTTCTTAATCTTTGTTTTTATGATTTACTTTCCTCTAAGGATTTAAAAATAACATATCAAGGTGAAAAGGTGATGCTGGTACAACATAATATAATTTTGCAGACACAGTAATAAATATTTACAATCATTCTTGAAGGTGCTTTACCATGGCAAGGACCAATCCCCTACTCTCATGAAAAGAACTGTCAGACAAAATTTATAAAAAATGATTGTACTCAGAAGTAATATGTCTGCTGAATTTAAGTCATCAAATCAAAAGCCATTTTCCAAAACATAGGTACACAAACCATACACAGGCAATAGTAAAACAGTTAGCCTTTGAAATTAAAAAAAAAAAAAAGGAAAAATGACCACTGGTAAATAATCATAGAATAGAATATGTTCAAAGAAAACCAACTAGTAACTATAACGACAGGTCCTACTAACCAGGAAGGATGCTACGACATATATAACGAAGTGCATACATATATGCATCTCAAATACTAAAACTGCCTTTAAATTTCTTCCCAATTTTTGCTTTGCAACAAAAATAGATTTTTGGAAGATCCACTGAATGCCAAGAAATATGGTTACATCTTCTTTATGGTTTATCATCAACCAAACTAAACACAAAACTTTAAAGATGAAGCAAAAAACTACCTAACTTCTTAGTTGACACTTTGAACAGGATATCGAACTTTCTTCTTACTATAACAATATTTGGTTTATAAATTCAGGAACATAAGGAAAATCTGAAAAGCTTAAACACATTTTGGTTGTCTCTTCAAAAAGAAAGGAGAACTTTATATCTTAATAAACTTAAAAAGTCAGTGTAAATAAATTCCAATTCAAAAAACATAAAAATAATCCATTCATTCCAACTTCTTACTTCTAAGAATGATCAGCTACAACCAGGGCTAAAACATGTAATTTACATTAACTCAAACAGTATTTTATCTACTAATTTAAGTGGGGAGAAGAAGCTCTGTTAAAACAACATAAAATAAAGACACAATTAGCCCTCAAAGAGAAACTGCTTCCTGGCTGTTATCAGCAAGCTCCAAAGGGGAAACACTAACAGATACCCTGTGTCTGCCTTTTAAGGGTTGGCCACTATAAAACACAACCATGGCCGGACGAGGTGGCTCACACCTGTAATCCCAGCACTTTGGGAGGCTGAGGCAGGCGGATCACAAGATCAGGAGATGGAGGCCATCCTGGCTAACACAGTGAAACCCCAACTCTACTAAAAGTACAAAAAATTAGCTGGGCATGGTAGCACGTGCCTGTAGTCCCAGCTACTGAGGAGGCTGAGGCAGGAGAATCACTTGAAGCCAGGAGGCGGAGGTTGCAGTGAGCGGAGATTGAGCCACTGAATTCCAGTATGGGTGACAGAGTGAGACTCCATCTCAAAAACAACAACAACAACAACATAATCATGACCCAAATTTGAGAGCGTAGGTTAGAGCTTCCTATGTATTTTATTTTATTTGGCTAAACTTCTCTAGGTATAAAAAGAATGGAGACATAAAAGCATTCATCTGGAATTGTCTAAGGCCTCAGAAATTTAACGAGACATTAAGCTGCTCAAATCTTAGGGAGATTTTACCTGGGTTATGCAAAAAACAGACAATGGGGAAAATGGCTGGGAGATAGCTCCACAGAGCACATATGTCACAGTTGGGAACTGACAGTTGCATCCTGGGGAAATGAAGGCAACTTCCACAATTTGGCTCTATCTAAAAAGGGTAAGCCCCACTGCAACGAATTAGCTCCAAGTTCTGGAAAAATACTGTAAATGTGATTATGCAAATAGTTTAAATTTTTACAAAAGGACGGAAGGAAGCTCTTTATCTATAAAGATAAACTAGAAACCATTCTTATTTATACCCAACAAGATCTTTATGCCACAAGTATACATACTTTTCTGGCCAAAAAAGAAATTTCTTTAAAAATCAATATCTTAAAAATAGTAATAGGGTCCATTCACATGATCTGTGAAACCCTAAGATTTTATTTTAATTGTCATGAAACACTGCTGGGTCTGTCATACAGAAACAAAATTAAGTAGCGGATTTCAGTGTAAATAGCTTTGGATAGCAATCCTACCCTCTCCCGGGCATGCCTGTAAAGCAATGAAAAACACAGGACTAAGCTGGTAACTATGGTAATATCCTGGGACAGAATTGTAGAATTACGAGTATCTCACAGAGGCTGACTACAGAATTCCTGTGTCTGCCTCTTCTGTTAAAAAGTACACCATTTAGCAAACATAACTTTCAAAATAGTCTCCTAAAAAGTAATATGCATAGTGTTTCCAGCATTTTCTGGACTCTAATTTGATCAAAGCAACAGCATAATTAGATTACTTGATACATTAAAATAGGTTGAATATTTTGGCATGCAGTCTTGTCTATTTTCTTCCTTCCTCCCTTCCACGGTTTCTGAGGAACCAGTAAACACCACACACTGAACCTGCCACCAGGAGTTAGAGATGACTCCTGTTCCTCAAAGAGCCTCCTGTCTGCTGGTGAAGTGAGACGGCAGAGATCAGTATAATGCATTATGGCTAAATGCATTGAGAGGAAGGGCACAGCCACGTGCCATGTTATGGTTTTACCTAAGGGCAGAATAGAGCCAACAAAGGGTTTTAGATAGATATTCTTGCAGCTGCATAAAAGTATGGATTTGAAGAGTTAAGACTGGAGGAAGGCAGACTGGTGAGGATGAAGGTCTGAGCTGGATGAGAGTTTGAGCCAGGTAGTGATTATAGAACAGGAAAGAAGGGTTGCAGAAATATTGAGGAAGTAAACTACCAAGGTCTAATGGGTTGCTTGATGAAGGGAAAGAGAGAGTCTAGTATTCTCAGTTCTAGCAGGAGACTGGGTAAATGGCAGTACCAACGATAGATGAGGAGAATTCAGGAGAAGCATGTGTGGTTGAGAAAATGCTGAGTCTAGTTTTAGATAGCTTGGGACTGCTGCTTCCGTGGGCTGTCCAGGTGGAAAGATATTCAGTAGGCAGGTGGACCCATGATTCTGAAATGTGAGACATGACTACTGGTCTAAGATAAGGATTTGAAGCCATTAGAATCTATAGGTCTTTAATTCAAGACAGCCAACAAGATCACTAGGAGAGAGGGAGGAGGAGTGGACTAAGGATGAGATCATGGGAAACCTTGTAGAAAACAGGAGTTGGAAGAGAAACCCCTGGAAGAAGCAGAGAAGAAATGGTCAGAGATGTCCCAAGAATAATAAATTAAAAGGAAGGCAGAGAAAAAGAGGGTTCTAATATTGCTGAGTGCAGTGATATTCCAGTAAAATGTCCAGTGGATATGACAGGAAGGAGCATGTCAGTGAGTTGAGCGATAACAGAAGCCATTCACTCAAAAAATACTGAATTCCTTCTACGTGTCACACACTACCCTAGGTGAACAAAACAGACAATGTCCCTGCCCACAGAGACTTTCTACTCTAGTGTAGAGCAGTCAAAGGGCAGCCTGTGGACTGGGGCCAGTCCGCGAACTGTTACCTGTACGTGACGAGGTAAGTACAATTTTAAGCATATGGCAACTCTTACAGCAATTTTACACTGTAATGTAACTCATTTAACAATTTTACGTTGCCAGGAAACCCAAATGCATAATCATTTTCCTGTACAACTCATTTTCCTTTTACTTTATGGGACAGAACAGGTCCATGCCAAGTAAGAAATTGACAAAAAAACCCCAAAATAATGTGTTCATCCCTAAGGATAGTCTAAAAGGCACTGCTTCAGTGGACTGCAGTCGGCTGCAATGTGAGAAAACGGGAAAGAGGACAGAAGGTCTAGATGGCAAAGGGGAGAAAAGCAGCAGCCAGAGAAGGATCTTATTTCACCAGCTAAATTCTGCAGGGGCAAGGACAGGTAGAGTTCTCAAAAATTAGGATGCTAATATTTTCCTTCAGTTTTCTGCAATTATTTACATATTCATGTTTAGCGGAAACTATCTATAATTATGTTTACAAAAGTATAATCTGTGGCCTGTGAGATACAGAAATACAATGTATACAAATACACAGGCTAAACAGGTTTCATTGTAGGCTGTGGCTGGTCAATTTCAGTCAGAAGAGCAGTATTACACATACATTCCATTCCCCCATACAGCCTAGCCTCTCTTCCTGTCCTGGGTGTTATCAGGTACTAGGCATGCAAGGTGTTAGATAGCTCCTGTGTTTATCTGTCATTTTGGAAATTGGATATTTTGTTAGAAGAAGAACTGACACTAATGAAAATATAAGTTGCCGTTTACTATCCAACACCACATGCCGGTTAATTAATAGAACACTCAGCCTGGAAGAAGCCAGCAATTTTCCATTTAGCTTTTTCAGATATTAGAACTAGATAGCATCATCAAATAACACACATACACTCAGGCAATTTATAACTTTATGGTTAAAGGTGGAAAAATCACTGCCTCAAAATCCTTCACAATCTACTTATCCTAGAGTCATAGATTGTTGGGTTCCAAGGTTCCTGTAAAGGTTATCACATTAATTTTCTATTACTATAAATAATGACCAGAATCAATTTATGGCAAGTAGCAATCATGAGGTTTTTTTTTTTTTTCCCCTTCTTCTTTGCTTCTCTAGAATGTGAACTCCATCTCATGGTTATAACTTCGCAAGCAAAAAAAAAAAAAAAAAAAACATTTTTTCAAGGAAAAGCCAAATAAATCAGAAAACTATATGGTGCATGATTCTTACCTCCTGTAGTAACTTATCTAATTTGTGCTGTAATTCAAGGAAGTATCGTGAGGTGATGAGGCCCTGGTGGGATTTATCCAAGCAATCTCGAGCCAGTTCAATAATCTGGTGGTGAGTGAAACTAAGCACTCCATCTGCTAGGGGTAGAACATTGTCAGGAGAGTAGCTGGTGATAATTTCCTTTAGACGTTCTTCCATCTGAGCAGTAGCCTATTTAGAGAAGACACACATACACAGATGTAATACGAGAAAACACACATGTAAACAATTCAACCATCACATTTTTATAGCATTTTCAGAGACGTCCACAAGTTGTTAAATAGGATTGCAGAAACTAAATTTAAAAGCCTCACTTCTGATAAAATAATGGCACATACATGTCGTTAGACATTTGTCCAAACCTACTGATTGTACAACACAAAGGGTGAATGAACCCTAATGCTTGTGGGGGGTGCACATGCATAGCCTTCGCAGGTACATGGGAAATCTCTGTACCTTCTGCTCAATTTTGTTGTGAAGCTAAAACTGTTCCCTAAAATAGTAGCAGCAGCCTCAGCATGTGAAATAAAAATCTGAGGATACATAAGTAAAATGAGTATTTCAGAATGATAACCTCCCTTTTCTGAGTTCTATCAAACATAAAATGGTCCCTATAAGCTTCTTCAAGTAACTCAAATGGTATCTGTGAATTGTTATGCTTTCTTTTTTTTTTTGAGACGGAGTTTCGCTCTTGTTACCCAGGCTGGAGTGCAATGGCGCGATCTCGGCTCACCGCAACCTCCGCCTCCTGGGTTCAGGCAATTATCCTGCCTCAGCCTCCTGAGTAGCTGGGATTACAGGCACGCGCCACCATGCCCAGCTAATTTTTTGTAGTTTTAGTAGAGACGGGGTTTCACCGTGTTGACCAGGATGGTCTCCATCTCTTGACCTCGTGATCCACCCGCCTCGGCCTCCCAAAGTGCTGGGATTACAGGCGTGAGCCACCGCGCCCGGCCCATGCTTTCTTTTAAGATCTTGGGCTCTTTCAGATGGACTGTCCAAAATATCAATTATTTCTTTATGTTTTTGTACTTAAACATCAGGATGTTTCTAGAGTTCTAAAACCTAAGCCAAAAATGTGTCTTTTTGGCTAGGTTTTAATGTGCTAGGAGCACACATCTTATGGCATATTCTTTTTCTGAAAAGCTACATCCTATGTAAAAGGCCCAGGGGATTCCCTTGGTAAAATAAATCTAAAATTTCCTTTTCAACTTTCATTCCATTCTCTCTGGTCACCCACTGCCTAATCCACATTCCTTGCTTACATTAATTACATATGCAGGGAGACTCCCTTTTCTTCCTCCCTCTTCCTCTCCCTCTTTAATATCCTAACCTTCATTAACTAGGTAACAGTCAGTATCTGTTTCCCTGGCGAGCAAGTGACGTGATAAATAGCTAAAACCGCTTTAATCAATGACATCAATGTTGGGTTTATTACAAATAATAAGTACTCTACTCTTGATTTATGAAACCAAAGATTTTCATTTGTTGTCCTGCTTAGGGCAACACAGGTTGTGGGGATGGATCGGAAAAAGCATGGAGAGTGGTGGTGGCCTTCTCCCAAATGTGCAGAAACGCTTTGGTGGGAAAGACGTGGAAACAAGGTGAGCTAATGAGACCATGTGAGAGCAGATCCCTGCAACCAGGCGCTTGGTAGCAACTCTTCACAATTGCTGTCTCAATTCACGTTCCTTCCACCAGTCTAACTGGGGAACACAACAGCTGTGCCTTCTCTTCTAAATTAATAGGGTTAGAAATACAATGTCTAAAGAGGTGGGAAATCACAGAAAAGTAAGGTTGGGAAAAGAAAACCAACAACTCTCATGATATAATCTACAGGCTTCTAATGGAGAAAAACAGTCTCTACTTAAAATACAGCAGCAGGCCCAGAACATGGGTACAAGATGCACGGTCTAGAGGCCTTTCAAAGTAGACCCTCCCTACGGTACCTCACCAGGCCCATCCCGTGTGTGGTGCACAAGTGGCAGGGTTCACTTTAGATCCAGCTCAGCACACAGAGACAGCACAGGTAGTTCTCAGCAGTTGTTAGCTTAACTTTTTTTTTTCGTTATTTTTTCTTTCTAAGAAGACTATGGAGGTGTTTTATACAAATCATTACCAGATTGGACCCTTACTTCCCCTAACAAAACCACCTTACAGACTCTAAACCTATGCTGCCTGTTCATTTAGATGCTAGGCATCTTCAATTCAATTCATTACCTTTGGGAACCTTTCTTTGTAGACATGGTTCATCATAATTATTTCATGGTCACAGCAGGCGGGAGAACGTCCAGGGCTGCAAGCAAAGCAAATTAGCCTTTTAAACTTGCCACAGCATGAAATGAAAATAAGCTTTTTATTTATAAACAGTCAGTTGCATCAAAAATACTATGCAATCTTTGTAAGAAAAGAATATTAGATAATAAACTACAAAATCAGTCATTAGTACACATGCACACATACATACCCACAAACACAGAGACACTCTGAATAGGACTGAAAAAGAAAGCTCAAGTGGAATGCCACAAAAATCATCACAGTTACAATACTCGTTCAGAAAATGTAAACTGAAATTATATTCTGCATGTAGTATGAGCTTGCATGACATCTGGAAAACAATTAATAAACTGCAAAATAAAACAAAATAGGGTAGCTACAAACAGCAACATCTAGGACACGTTCAACAGTGTGATTTCACACTTTTATCATACACCTGCGCTCTGCCACACACCACTGAAGAGGTCTGGGAGTCTTCCATGGCACAGGTATTATAATTGAAATCAATTTTCTAGCCTAGCAAATATTTATTTAGGATGCTGAGGTAGGCATTAGATATAATATGAAACAGAGGCATACAACTGTTGTGCATTTTTCTTTACTCTTTCAATAGTAGGTTCATCTTCCTTCCGAGTTGTATGTAGTTGTGTAATTTCAGTGTATTTATATTCCTGGGTGGATACAGCTTATACTATGCATCTTTGAAATTCCTTTAATACAACAAAAAATGGCACCAATGTAGTAAAACGCAGTGCCTGTAGATGAAGTAGTAAAACCAGTTGTTAATTCCATATCTCAGAATAATCTGACATGTCTCACAATTATCCAGTGTGGCTATATTTAGTATTAGTTTATGAGACTAAGTGAAGAGAAAACATACAAAGGGAAATTTGTTCTCATTAAGCTTTGATATTCAACTGACCACCTAATAAACAATTTTTTAATATAATCAATATATCAAAGTGCATTTTTTATTTGTTTGTTTTTTTGATACAGAGTCTTGCCCTGTTGCCCAGGCTGGAGTGCGGTGGCACAATCTCGGCTCACTGCAACCTCCACCTTCCAGTTTCAAGTGATTCTTCTGCCTCCAACTCCTGAGTAACTGGGATTACAGGCCCAGCTAATTTTTGTATTTTTAGTAGACATGGGGTTTCACCATGTTGGCGAGGCTGGTCTCAAACTCCTGACCTTGTGATCCACCCTCCTTGGCCTCCAATAGTGCTGAGATTACAGGCAGGAGCCATGGCACTAATTCTATAGCCTCAAGACCTCATATTGCAGTGGATGAGGTGATGCCCTGTCCTGATCCCTCCTTCAAAGAATGACCTGTTACCTTGCTGCTAGGAGTGCTGTCTACAGAAACCTTCAGCTGTCAGTCCCTGCAGGGATGGCATCAGCTGCAAGGAGTCATCTTGCCCAAAGCTGAGACTTTCCCCGGATGCCACATCCAATGAGGGACCAATGACTGACGTAGGAATATACAGGAAGGCACATTTGGGCCAGAGGAGCAACTCTGCTGAGTCCTGTCGTCCCTCAGCTCTCTGGGGAGTGGCTAGAGCTGCTGGACTTCTCCCTTTGCCCAATCCTGCCTCCCCCTTCCCTCCCACAGGTGCTAATTTCAAAAGCACTCCCTAAGAAACATCCTGAACAGAAAGCTCTGTTTTAGATTCTGCTTTTTGAAGAAGCAAACTCATAGTAAAACTGGCTATACTCAATGTCAGGTGGACTACATTTGGCAACCACAAACTTCAACTCCTAAAAATGTATTCATAGTCTTAGAGAAAGTAAGACTTATGATGGGAGGAGAGAATAAAAAGATCAACATTTTGTAATATGGAATCTGGAATTTTAAAAAATCCTCCTATTCTTGTTGTCCTGTTTCCACCAAGCTGTTACCTCTTAACATGATAATATTAACTGCTTTTGCGCTGCCTTGAAATTTCCAATGGCTAGGCGTTTTCACAGGTAGTCCCCTGAGACCATCATGATTCCTACTACTGCTGCAATCAGCAAATTGTGAGAATTTAAAAGGAAAATTATAAGATGCCCTTCAATGGTAATTAACAATAGTATGTGTACATGGAAACATCACACTATATTTATAGAAGTTTGCAAGTCAGTTAACACACATATGAACTAAAGGACCCAAGTCTTCACTCAAAATGTTTGAAAATAGAGAATCCAATTTAAGTAACGGTTTTCAGCCAGGCCCACACACCTCAGACTTCGGGAACGGGGGCGCATCGGCGTGTTCCTGCATCTGTTCTCAGTGGCAATGCTTTCGGTGGTACAGAAATGTTTCGATAAGAAGTGTAACTCATCTGGCGTTGGTTGGTATGGTAACTGATGCAGCTTCTCCTGGGAGGAACAGGATGACTGAAACAAACCAAAGTGAGGTCACATGACTACCTCAGAAAGAAACTCTTCAAATGAGTAGGAGAGATCAATGAGTTAAACTTGGATGATACTACCACTTTATATTGTTTCTTTTTCATGTAAAAGTTATAAGAACTACTGCCTAAATGTATACTTTGATGTTCTCTCTCAGAATTCAAAATGTTTTCCATATTTTGCTTCATTTGTTTATAATTTTCCAAATAGTTTTCTCTCTGGAGAAAACCTAGGCTCTGGAAATGGATTGGAACCAGTCAAAGCCAAAGCAAGAAAGCGACCACTTGAGTGGCGTTAGGGAGCACTGTATCACAGATTAGTTCTCAGTTGAACATGGCACCCCCAAGTTTACCAGTGCTCAAAATCAAATAACATGAAATCAATGATATGATGTGAGATCGTCAATAAGGTAATGAAACCTCTCTTTATAATGCATCAGTGTGTGCCATGGGTACAATGAGAAGGATTAAAGAATATACTTTTCACAATAAAGCTACTGTTTTCAAATTTGGAATTGAATTTTCTTTCTTCCTTTTCTTTGTGGGGCGTGGGAGGGCTGAGACTATCACTTTAAAAAAAAAAAAAAAAACCCTTTAACTGGTAGTGAGTTTTTTGTTCCATGCCTGCAGATTTGCTTTTTGAAAACCATCATTCAATATTTGAAACAAGAAAAGATAGGAAAGGTGAATAGCTAAATAACTCTGCTTTTAATCAATCTGAAACATTTAACTAAAAATCAAGGAAACTATTTATTGTTTTCATTTTTAGTTGGAGGTAAACTCTGTAATTCTAATAAAAGAGATTGAGAAATTTTTTAGTAAATGGAAACACATTAGAATAAGCATATATTGAAAGATACTACCTATTTTAAAATGTCAGCTCTAGTAAGCATTTTTTAAAAACATCATTATATTAAGAGTACACTTCATAAATACTGAAGCACTGCATTGCAGCAAAACTAGAAATTCATGCCTAAAGCTTAAAAATTATTCCTATAACTTGAAATTATAAAACAACTTACCAAGTACATATTGAGACAAAGAAGGATTTCTATAATGTAACGCGATTATTTTATAAGCCATAAAAAATGAGAACACTACTAGAAAGACTTATGAGACAAATCAAAGCTCCATTCAGTAAGTATAGTCATGGCCTTAAACACTTTTCACTAGGAAAAAAGAAATGAAACACAGAAACTAAGTCAAGTCAAGAAATCAGGAAAAAAAATAAACTCAATGCAAGCAGGAGTTAAGCAGTGGTGATAAGAGGAAAGATAAAGAAATTAGCAAATAGAAAAACAGAACTAAGAATCTATAGTTCTTTGGGAGGCTGAGGATCACGAGGTCAAGAGATCAAGACCATCCTGGCCAACATAGTGAAACCCCATCTCTACTAAAAATACAAAAATTAGCTGGGCGTGGTGGCACGCTCCTGTAGTCCCAGCTACGCGGGAGGCTGAGGCAGGAGAACTGCTTGAAACCGGGAGGCGGAGGTTGCAGTGAGCTGAGATCACGCCATTGCACTCCAGCAGCCTGGCACCTGGCGACAGAGCAAGACTCTGTCTCAAAAAAAAAAAAAAAAAAAAAAGTCTCAAAGGTGAATCAATGTCCACAATCCTATATACAAGATTTCAAAACCCACAAACTCAGAAGTTTGTTCCTAAGTTTACAGTAATCTGTTTTGGTGGCAAAGCACCAACTGAACTGATGGGAAGCTGTTTAAAATATTTATTTAATCTACTTAGTGTGAATGTTGATTCAAGCTGCTATAAAAATATTAAAATATTTGATTATGAGTGGCTGGCCCCACTGTTGCTGGTCTGTTATATACAGAACAGGGATGTTACCATTTTAAAAGTGAAAATTAATTCCAAAACACACCAGGCTCAAGAGTCTCACATAAGATACCATGCAACTGTACTTGCACGGGAACAGTATCTATGACTTCAGAGAGAGGTCCAAAGAATGGAGTCACACAAAAAATTATGCTGCTAGCTGTTAAGACAGTTAGAGTTCCAAAACCGTGTTCTGAGTCATGATATCACTCAAATAGCATTTAATTTCTCAAGATAACCATTTTGCAAAGGATAATATTCATATGCACATTCAAGTTTCTACTTTTTATTAAAATCATGTCATTTTATAGACATACCTCATATTTTTATGAGTATTTATATTCTTATTTCTGTACTTTCACTGAGCAGAAAATAATTTATCTGGTAAGAAACATATGGGAGAGTGTCTTCCTACTGCTACAATTCTATAATGCTTATTTCAAATTAAGAATTATTATCTGAATATATTAGAAAAGGTCCACATTAATTTTAACTGAAAACTGTGAAGTTACAAGAAATTCAACACTGAATACTCTCTGGGAGGACTGATTTACTTCATCAGGCCAAATCTTTCCAATTTTGGAATATAGCATTTTTAACATTTAGCAATTTTGTAGTTTCAATAATAGCCAAAGGATACAGATATTACAATGGTTACATTTCAGTCCGGCATTCAGTCAACAGCTGAAATTATCTGTAAAGTTTAAACTATATTTTCAAAGTGCTTGCAATTTTAATTGCATATATTCTACATTTTGATTTTTTAAATAGCTAAAGTACATTTCTGATTGGCTAAATGACTGACGGTTAACCCAGGGAAATGAGAATCTAACAGTTATTCAGATTAGATTTGGAAAAGAAAAAACTGCAACTGCTAAGAAGTTTTGCACTTTTTGCCCTAATATTTAAAGAATAAGAACACAAAGAAATTGAGAAAAATAGGTAGCTTTTCTAGTTTTCACTCATCACTTTTCTCAACAACCAATAAGGGGAAAAATTAATTGAACTTTCACACTACAGCACCTGCAGTCCATAATCTAAACAGTCCCTTCTGTCTTTTGGCAAAAGGAGTAATTCTGGAAGCTACAATTTAATTTTGGAGGAAAAACAGGAATATTGAGCCCAATAATTATATGATACTAATGCCTTTAATAAAATAAACACTTCAGAGCAGAGCTGTTAGAAACACAATTGTGTATGACTAAAAACGGTCTCAGGGGTGTCTTCCCTAGGCACATAAAGAATTTAGAGATCGCAATGATTCCATTTTGACTGATGACCAGGTCAGCTTCATTAATAAACAAGGTTAACTTTAAGAAATGCCAGAGTAAACAAGGTTTACTTTAAGAAATGTCATGTAAATTCCTTTAAAAGAGCCAAGAGACTGGGGTCTAAAACTGCTTACTGTATACTTACTGAGAAAATAAGGGAACAGTAAACAGTCTCTCAGTTAAACAGTCTCTCTGTGCCTCAGATTTCTGGCCCATACAATGAAAACAGCAGCAGTGATTACATCATAGGGGACATGTTGATAGGATTAAATGAGCCAATGCAGTTTAACAAGTCATACCAGGGCCTGGCATATAAAAGTATTATAAACAAAACTATTTTTTAATTTATTTGTAGCAAACAGGGTCCAATTTTATGTAGCTCACCTTTTTTTATGGATTCACTATTAAAAATGGTAAATGACTTACTAAAGATGGAAAGAATACAAATCTTGAACTCTACCCTATTTTTCTCACAAAAGAGAGATTTCTATGTCCAAGTTATAATAAAACTTGACTGAAGGCAATGCAAGGTGATATCATTGAAATAAAAAAAAATTGGAATTAAGAGACATGTCTAAAATATTGGCCAATAACCAATGATAGTTACTGCCAGAGAATCAAGGATAACTTCAGTATTATTTACTGACTTTTTTTTTTTTTTTTTTTTTTTTTTTTTTTTTTTTTTT